GGAATTTGCTGCGCGTGTGGGGAAGTGAAATTGCCATAACTACATTCACCACCGGAACCATTATCAACGTTGGTGTCACGTGAAACAAGCAAATCGAAATATTTCTTGGCAAACATAAGTAAGTGCAATTCATGTTTCCAAATGGCATCGTTCGGTATAACAAATATCATGCTCGAGAATACCATGCCAACAAAAAATAAAGTGCAAGGCCAAATTTACTGTCGTGCAGGATCTCTGATGCCAATGCCAAACACAGATTACAAATGTCTTCAAATTTATTTCATTGGGAATACTGATGAACAAATCGATCAACGTTGTCATATCAATACGGGCACTAAACGAGAAATCGTCGATGCATTGCAAACTTTATTTTTGCAACACAACGAATTAATTCAAATGTTCAGAATTGCACTTGACAAGATGCCGATTGATGACTACAAAGTCATGGTTAGAGCAGACAAAACTCCTGTCAGCCAAAACGAAAGACAATACAATGCACCAACAATTGATGAAGTGGCGATCGTTATAGTTGGCAAAGAATTTAACTCATGTGATATAATTGTTCATCGCAGAAGTGGTGATGTTCAGCGAGTCTCAGAAACTCATCGCTCATACGATAGATTGCAATATCCTATTTTATTTTGGCAAGGAGAAGATGGATATCATTTTAACATTAAATTGAGAAAGCCACAGACAGATGAGGAATCGAATCAGAAAGTCAGTGCCATATCGATTGATGATTCGTGAGTTGGGAATGACCTCTCGGAATCAATCTGCAAACAAGTTTTTTTATTGTGATTTGCAACGAAAAACGCACTTTCATATTGAAGAATTAGTTACATTTGTTCAAATGAATTTTCCGAAATTGTTTCCATTGAAGTTACTATTTTAAAATAAAAATTTAAACTAGGTTATGTACTGTTGCCCTTCACCCCAATGATTCCAACAGATATGCCATTTGAATTCAAACGCCTACAGTTTGCGATGCGACACACGTCTGCACTGACTATTTACAAAGCACAAGCACAATCGCTACAAACTTGCGGACTAAATTTTGAAAACCCATGCTTCTCCCATGGACAGATGTATGTGGCCTGCTCTCGCGTCGGAAAATCTTCTGCTTATTCGTGTATATACCAAATGGAAAAAAAATAAAAAAATTGGAGTATAAAAGCTCTTAAAGAAATATAATTAACAGCAAAACACTTTCTTTCTTTGCGTGGCATTGCAACGCATGCCAGGTACTCGCTAGTATTGGTATATTTTTTAATATATTTTTTTTTAACTTCATATATGTGTTAAGGTTTATAGAAAATGTTATTTGTAATTTATATGATAACATTTATGATAGCTTGAAAATCCTATTACAAATTTCAAACAAAGGTAATATAACAAAATCGTTATTTGATTTATCTCACAAAAAATCTCACATTAATAGACATATATCTTTAGTAAACACCGCAGACGTTTGTTACGAAATTTACCATTTACAGCTAGAACAATAGCTATATTTAGTCTAGGGCTAATAAGAAGCATATAAAGATCATAATTTTATCTGGTTCTTTATTCAATAACATACTGCACAGCTTTCCTTCTTCATGTCACTATATCTCTGCAACTCACCAACTATCAAAACAATAAGAACTAGCAACATCATCTCAAAAACCCACATTCGTCAACGGTACAAACAACATAGCAAATACGCTCACAAGTAAAATATACAAAACACAAATCTAAACAATATTTCATTGAGCAAATTATTAATAATCCTCTTAACCTAAATTTTTCGTTACTTTGCGATTTATAAAAATGAATAGATTTGAAAACCCATTAAAATGTAAACATTTCTATAAAAAAGTGTTTTTTTCCTTGTTGACATTAGTAGAATTTTGAAATTCATTAAAAAAGTTAAATATTATAATTCATTTTTAAAAATTTCTTTTGTTTTGCTTTATATGACATGATGTTAGTAGTGATATTTTGTAATGGAAACATTTTGGGGAAAAAAATTATCCGAAAATTTCACCAATCCATGTAAAGAAAATAACAAATATGCTGAGAATTAGATCGACCCCTTTCTAATCCACTTTCAGAGGCGTAGCTTGGTGATTGGGGCCATGGGAAAAATCCTTTTACCGCACCACCTTCAAATGTGAAATACATTAGTTTAATCCTTTAAATAACATCAAATCCTATTTTGGAGACCTGCCCAACCCCCGCTAATCTGGACCCCACAGACATATGCCCTATATGTACTCTTAGCTCCGCCTCTGACCAATGGCAATGTCCAGCCGGATATCTGTAAGTGCCGTCACCGACGGAGGAAATTCTCTGAAAGAAACACCGAAAGAGACAAAGATTAAGTAAAAAACGTTGCTGCAGTTTAGCGGGATTAAAAGGGAGATTGTATCTTGAAATGTATTTTTTTTTTCTAAAGGAAAAAAAATAGTTTTTAATTAGAGGAAATGAGATCGGTAATAAGTAAATATCTATTAAATTAATCATTTTAAATTTTGGTAAGACATTTAAAATGAGAGATATTGATGATAATAAAATTGCAATAGTAAAGATTTTGTGATGTCCCCAATAAAACACTTAGGGAAAATAAATATATTTGAGAATTTTGCACTCTTCTGTGTTACGACCTTCGTTATGCTTGACGTGTTACGGCTCTCTCTTGTTTGTCTAGGGTGTATGACTCTCTCACATAAAACGCAAAGGTCCATTGTAACAATATATGTATTGAATATTTATTAGGTTCTTTATACAACAGGATACACTTCACTCTAACTCTTAACTGACAATCCTCTGACTACCAACAATTTTCTTGCTCTCTGACTGTCTCTCACTGACTCTGACTGACCTCTAGCTAACACACATCCCTTTTATAATACCACACAACAACTCAGCCTACGCAACCGCTCCACACCACTGACTAACTTTCACGCTCTGACCCCACGACCACAACTCACAAAACACTCCCACGATTAACGACTCCCCCTACCCAAAATTCACAACAACTCTCGCTCACAACAGTCTGCTAATTTAATCAAACGATGTTTCAAAAACAATGAGAACACTTGTGTTTAACTAGATATATTTATATAATTAAAATAGTTTCACAATATTTTGGTACTCTTTGACTTCTATCTTGAATACTTATTCAAGTGTATCACGTGAGTGAGACAAACAAATATATTTCAGTAATATGTTCTTTTTAAACCCTCAACTGTAAGGTTTGAAGTTTTTTGGAACTTCCGCTGCCGAAGCCATAGTCGTGACGACATTAGTGTATTCTGTTGGCGGTTTTGATAAATAATCTGAGGTTCAAAGAAAAAATAAAAATATTAAACAAAGTTACTCTGTTATAATCTAAAATTGTCGGTGTTTTTCCCTTAACTTACTTCGTGTCAGAAACCAAAAACAGTGAACAAAACGGGACATAATTTTATAAGTACAGTAAAGGTTTCAGTAATAAATAGCAATTTTTAATATAATAATTATTTATTATAGTATAGTATATTACAACAAATTAAAACAGAAGACGCCTTAGGGCTCAGGGCTGAAGAATTCAAAATTTCACTTTTTAAAACAAAAATGATCGTAATATTTTGCTTCTCGCTTACCGTCTTTGATAAGATATATTTCTGTATTGTTAACTGCGAATAAAAATGTTTTTGTTTTTTTAATGAATAAAGACTTTAAGTTTAAAAAGTTAAAAAAACAACAAAAAAAACAACATTTTTTTATAAAAAGTAATGTACGTGAATTATAAAAAGAAATAGTTTGTAAGGAAAAGGCTGACAAGTTGTATACAATGTAATTAATGGGAATTTCAAATGAGAGTTTACCAAAACTATCAAATATAAACGAGGTAAAATTAATTAAAGATTGAATTACTGAGTGAATTCTACAGCAGGCACATATATTTAAGCAGTTCTCTGCGTTGATGATTATAATCAAGTTCAAACGAAATCAGTTTTAGAAGATTAGAGAAAAAACTAAATGTACAGACTAAAAAAAATGCATGTTGAATAATAAGAAGTGTGTGTTTTATTTAAGTTAACTATGTGTACTTAAACTAATTTGGTGTATCTGTAACATTTAAAATTATGTATTTATATGTGTGGCTTTGAACGTGTCAGACTTTGCCAAATTGAAGAAGCGAAGCTTAATTATAAGTGTACGCTTCTATTTTTTTTTTAATGTAAGTGATACATTTATTTTTAATTACTATTATGTCAACAAAAAAACATATTAAACAACGAACGTCATTACAAACCTAATTAAATTATACTTATTATTGGAGATGAGATTGTGAAGTGTCTGGAACTGGAGAAAAGGCTGTTCAATTAAAGTGTTTGGAGTGTGAAAACTTGACTTCCCGTAAGAGTAAATACAGACGAATGCGGCATTTATTCTAGCTAGTTACTGAATAACTTAACAAATAAAAAAAAATATTGACTAACTCTGATTCGTAATTTTAATTTTACATTGGTCAATAGAATATGTTTACATACTTAATTAATAGTCAGATTTTAAACATACAACACATATTTTTTCGTTGTTAGCCACTTCTTTTCTTTTGTCTAAATAGAAATGCTTTTGGACTAATTAAGATTTTTAAAGACGCAATTTAGGACAAATATTAACTTACCCAACTTCTCAAATTTGCCACTGAAAATAATTAAATTAGAAGAAAAAAAGTAAGTATTCAAAATATAAGATAAAGAAAGTGGATTACTTCATAATTCCTTAAAAATAAATATGTTTTATAAGTAATAAATTCTCCTTATTGTTCATTTAGAGACATGATATATATTACATATTTATTTATTGATTGCTTTTCAAACGTATAATAAATATTCATTTTTAAGCAAAGGACCTTGTCAAATTAAAAATAAACGATTACAACTTTACTAGTTCATGCATGTGAATTGTCTTCCGTATTTTAGGCCTCTAAAGATATTTTAACAAACTTATTCGAAATTTAGTTATTCTTACCACGCAGTCCCTTTAAACTGACGAATACCTAAAATTACAAACAATAGATCGTTTTAAAAAAAAATCTTTTAAAATAGTATAAATATATTGAAGTTTTAATTATATGTTTAATCTCTTATTTTATTCATATTAATATTTTTATTTATTTTCATTTCAATTTACTGCATCCAACTGTACTATGTAAGGCTACAGCAGTGGTTGAACTTGACCAATATAAAAATGTCTTTGACTATTGTGGCTTAATCTTTTTAAGAGATAAGTAGGGAAATTATATTGTTTACATTAAAAAACATAGTATGCAGATTGAGATGATTTCCATCACTTTTTAGAGCAATATAAAGTGAGATGCTAAATTAGATAATAGGGAGGGGAAAGTTGTCCAGGGCGACCAACTAACTTGTAGCACAGATGAAGCACATTTATTTTCCTGAGAGAGAAAGTATAGAGCAGCTACTAAAAAATTAGATAACTTATAACGAGAACAACTATTTACGGTTACAATAAAACTCAGAAAACAGACAGAATACATCGGAGGGCAATAAAGTGCCATTTATAGACAAACATGGACAGTAGAGAGATTAGCAGTGAGAGTCAGAAAAATTATTAGAAACGTTTGAGTAAATATCGACGTCTTGTTAGTTACTGTGCAGAATAATTGAACTAGGTTAACATTCAATGAAATATTAGAGATTTCACTGGATTAAAGTGTCAACTGCATTAAATCATTAAACTAAGACACAAAGTTAAACAAATATCATCAAATAAGAACAAATCAATTTAAGGCCTAAAAGCAATTTTAAAGCGACGATATACAAAGAAACATCACCGAAGTAAAGCTACATCAATGGCTGTAAAATTTAAAAAGTTTAATAGGTAAAATCTAAAAATTGCAGCATATGAACAAATTACTTACGTAATATACTTAAAATAAGTACCAGGAAAACCAGTACAATCCCCAGAGCTACACCAATTCCTATGTAAATTGATGCAAAATCGTCATCTGGAGCTGTAACTTCGAGTGATAAGCTATCTAAATCTGAAACTGTATATATTTTTTGTAGGTTTAGAGGATATGGATCATTAGTCTATTATAGGGAAAAAACATGTCTTAAGTAATTACTAAGGTGCAATGTTACTTCAACTTGGTCAAAATTGCAATGATTTACAATCCCTTTCAACATACAAACAACATTCAGACATGTCATTTATCGAAAAACAAAAATGACCCATTTCAGTATCTATTTTTTACTATTAAAACAATATTGCAGTAAATAGGAAACGTGCTTTTTAAAGTGCATGTTAATAAATTATTATTTCTCAAAATCATACGAATACACTTACTGATAAGGTGAACTGTTGTTGTATTTTGATAGCATCTTGATTCATGCCAGACAATGCACGTACAAATTACATTATGTGTTACATTTAATGTCAAATTCACATTTTGTTCGGCTGTTGAAACGATTGAAACAAAAGAAAGAAAAAAGACAATATAGTTTTAATGAATGTATCAAGTTAAGTTACGTCAATATAAATTAACACCATAGATTTTGAAGAAAGAGTTAACATACTGATCTTATTAAAATGCATCTTATGTTCAGAGGCTGAACTATTATGTTGTGTTTTTTAAAATCACATTTATTAATACAGTAATAGTTTGTTGTTGTTTTTTTTTGTTTTTTTTGTTTTTTTATCGATGCTACTGAACTTAAATAGACATGCTGTTATGTACACAGTGACGTAGGTAAGTTAAATACTTACCAAGTGAATTATGTTTGGGATATAAATATATATAAATATATATTATATATATATATATATATATAATATATATAAAGATGGTGAGTAAGTAATATAAATGCGTTAATTTATATAAATAAATTGTTAAGATCACTAAGTAGATTTGAAATTTAATAGTCGTAAACAAGCATTCCAATACATAAAAACATTATCCTTAAATTTGTCTGAAATGTTTAACGTATTTTAATGGATTTTTAAAAATGTATTTAAGGTTTTCTGTCCTTAAAAAAGCAAACACATGTGGCAGTTTTTTTTTTCCTTTGAGCCTGTCTTTATTTGTAAACGCTGTTTTGGGGATTATGTGAATGTTTATTAAAATAATCACACAAATTCACAATATCATCGGGGACGTGTAAGTGTAAACATTTCCAGCTCAATTGGAGATAGCAAAATGTGATGCAATATTCGAACAAGACAGACACAGCTGAAAGCTAAACAAAAACGTGTAAAGGCTTGTGGCACCCTTGAAAAAAATAATGTCGTACGTGTTGGAAAAATACAGTGTCGGATACAAGGATACACGTATACGTTTGCACTGCTGCAAATAAGAATTGTGTGACAAATAAAAACATCGATCGTGATCTTGACAAGTGGAATGAAATTATTGATACCGATGCGTGCGCGCATATGCAATTTGCAAAGAACATTGAGTTCATGTGCACGCCGTGTGTTTTTTTGTCATATGACTGTAACAATTCTATGGAAAGTATATTTTTTAATTATGGTTTTATTTTTATTTGTATAGCTATGGATATTTTATTCATTTTTCTTAACCATTTTTATCCATTGCGTGTGTACTTACTTGTTTCAAAATAAGTCTCATTTCCACAATTTAAAGATAAGTTTTTTGATGACGGGTATCCACCTCTTGATTGACACATAATTGTATCACCTTTTAAGACTCTAAGGGTTGTCGTAGATGGAGTTTTAATGTCTCTATTTGAATTACTTGTAATTTTCGGAATTTCTGGTGGACCTGTTAATTTAAGAGATTCACAAGGATATGTATTCATCGTCTTTTTACATTAAAGGTGACACAATATAAGTGTTTACACGTGCGTCTGTTCAAAGTGTCCAACTTTTCTCGTGTTGTACTGTCATAGAATAGGTGAATGAAGAGGCACTCCTACTTGTGATTTGCTAAGTCTTGCGGGTGGACAGACAAAATGTACCAAGTTTTCAACAAATAAACTATTAAACGAGCGTTTACGTCTTCCAGCGTAGTAAAGCATCATATATCAGAACTAGGGTTTAACACCGCTGATGATATGAACTTACAGTTAAAATTTAACAAAAATATTTACTTATGATGCACTATATACTCTAGTTCTGTCTTTCTATCTGTCTCTCTCTTTCTAGTTCTCTCTCTCTCACTCACACACACATACACTCTGTCGCCTTCTTTATCTTTCTATGCTTATATATATACTCAGAATGTTTTAGTGTTACTTTATTTAAATTAGCTATCACTTCTGTCAATATAAAATTAACCATTTGGTTCTAAAAATATATTGAATCAGATTAATCCTCTTTATTTACCGCATGAACAATTTCTGAATATATATTTATATTTATACAATGTGTGCCAAAAGCAAAGTACAAACACTTTCTGCATCTTGAAAGAGTGCCTACTTTTGTAACGGTGCGTAGCTAAAACCACCTATATTTTCCAAATATGTTAGACCTCTTGATGAGACAGTCGACGGAGGAAAACTTTTTCATGGATGAGTATTATTTTTAATCATTCATGCCAAGCAGACACACAGTGTTTCAAAACAAAATGTTGCAGAACTGTTCCAAAATATAATTACTGCGACTGCACAAAGTAGCATTGTAATGCTGTCTACTATTATGACATTTTCCTTTTCTGGAAGTGTATTGTGTCATTGAAACGGGTAGGAATTTATTCTCTAAAAGAGAGATAAGTAAGTACTTTATAATTATTAATTTTGTAAAAAACTATTTAACCAACTCAAAACTATATGAAGAAGAAATCGTCGTAGATACATCGTAAAAGCATTTAAATAACGTAACGTACCGATAGATTTACATCAAAACGTGTATTATACTTCTTTGTTGGAATTAATTATTTTTTATCAATTGATAATTAGATGTAATAAATAAATATGCGTGCATAGTAGATATGTTTTAAAAATATAAATTTTTACATAGTTTTATATTAATGTTGTGCGTATGTAGGTAGTATCTATTTATATTTTTACTACAAGTACATTGATAACTAAAACACTACGATAAAACAAGTATTGATTAAAAGTATTAATTTAAATACTTAAATGTAACTAACAATTTATTTATTTTACCTTGAATGACTACATTCTCGCTTTCATATCCTAAATAGACTGTGTTGTTATAATGACATGTGATATTGAAGATACCAGTCTCATTCATTACATTGCTGAAACTATATACACTGCCTTTTCCTGTAGCTGTTAGGTTGATTACCGAATTGTTTATGCTGACATAAACTTTAGACATGGGATACATGTCACTAACTAGACAGTTTCCAGAAATGTTGGCGTTATTAGCATCACATTTATCAATGTTGGATTGATGCAATGTGATACTGAAGTTTTGAGGAGGATCTGAAAAAGTATAAAATATACAAAAGTAAATTTATTCGGAATCACGGTACCAAAGTAGAGTTTGAGAATGTATTTTATTAGAAATACATTTGAAAGATAATGGATGAAATAATGAAAAGATTATTGGATACATTGGTGGCTAAAAAAGATAAATGATTTATATGCAATCAGAAAAAGAGATTGATAAATTTACCAAATATATTATTTATTTACTGGTATTATTTTTATTTAGCAATAAAACTGGATTTGCCTGTTTCATAAGCTTGTATACCCTTTAAAAATATAGGGACATCAAACATTTTTCGAAACGATTAACATAAAGATAGTTTTTCAATTTAACCATCAAAATGTCCAATGAAATTAATTTTGAGCGATTTGCATGATGCCAGTTATCATGGGAAACTAAAAAATTATTGTGATACCAGCAGCCCGTCAACTAGACTAACCATTAATGAGGACTCCATTTAAGAGATTGTCGAGGAAAAATTATCAGAAACTGATACACAACGAATTGACTGAACATACGAGCATGACATTAGGAGCAGATCGCGTCTTAGTGATTTATTGTAAAGTACGAACGGAGGATATCCCTAAATTTAAATTAAAACTGGAATGTTTAAAATGTGGGAATCGGGGCTAAATTTTGTAGAATTGCACCAACCCAAAAAAAAAAGAGTGGTGAAACTGTTTAACCAAAATTAAGTGTCAGATGATTTTGCAAAGCCCTAAAAGCAAGTTTCATTTAATAGGTTCCTTGTTTGAGTTTCCTAAAAGAGCAAATGCCTAAAAATCCAACTCCGTCATAACGATCCTGATAGACACAAACATTGGTTTTGTAATCGTTGTTTTCTATTTTCTTAAAAGTAACATGGTGGTCTAAATTTTTTTTTAAAATCAAATAAAATAAAATGCTTATATTTCCGATATGTGTAACCTATATTAATTAGTTGGCTTCAAAAAGTTACATTGAATATTTATGCAAATCATTTGATAAGGGCCTGCTTTAGATAATGCATTTAAAATATGCTAGACCATTTGTTTTAAGGTGGGGAGTCTGGGAGATCATGTTACAAATATGAAGGTTTAAATCCCTTTCAATTTTTGAACAATTTAATGACACTAATTTTAAATGTGTCCTGCCCCCCCCCCAATTTTTTCTCCCTTTTCAGTGATAACTTTGGCATCATTTTGAACGGGCGTCTCAAAAAAAATTCACCATTTTTAACACCAGAGCCCTTAATTTATTTATAAATGTTAAAGGAAAGGTTGAAGTTTCTCTTCATGGTTTTGATTGGGCTCATATATCAGTGAAAAAAATTATATTTATACATTTTAATGAAGATATGAAATGTATTTATTTTAACTATTAATATTGCATAAAATATGATAAAATATACGTACATGCAACTTTCGGTTCATAGATTATTTGATGTGTCCAATTTAGGCTGGTAACAGAGCATTGGAATTTCATTGTATAACCTTGGAAAAAAATAAAGATTTTTTCATAGTTAGCATGACTATAAATTAATGTTAAAATATGAAGTGTATTTTTAAAATAAACATTAAAGAGGCTGATGATGTGACAATTTAAAAGGAAAGCAAAAAAAATATATTAATAGCAATGCAATCGTTTCTCTCAATGGAACTTCATATTTGAAAAATTATATTCAGTCGAAAATATTTTTTTTTTTTTTAAATTTCAAATATTTGTTGGCTCAAAAAAATATAAAATTAAACTATACTGTATGTGCGTGTGTATGTTTGTATGTGTGAGTTGGGGGAGGGTATAAAATTGACAACTGACCTTTTCAGTTGCGTAGCTATTGGTGGTGTTACCCTGTGTGATAAACTAAAGATGTAATCCCCCTCTCCCTTACTTTAATGATGGATTTATTCTTGTTAAAATAAGTCCACGGCATAAGAATGACAAGACCAAAATAAAATTAAATGAAGGTCAAGTGGTAAGTTTATTTAAGAGCTGTAACAATGTAAAGTTATGGTTATTTTTACCTTAAATTTAACTTTTTTTTTAAAATTTCCTTTGCTGGCCTTTAAAGCTTCAAAACCGTCAATCACTTGATCAAATTCAATATACTTCACCGTATCACTTTCAATTGGTAGTAGAGCCAGATAAAAAAATCATTGACTGTCCCATGGTGGATCGTAATTAGTTCGAAAAGCATCGGTCACATGATTTCACAGACACACAGGTCGTATGGATCTTTTGAAGTCTTAGCGAGAGTATTGGAAGAGATTCAAATAAGTCCTATTTAGCTATGCATTTAAAAATAAAACATCAAAGACTGACCAGTCCTGGACTTTGTGAAATTCAATATCAGCCACTTTAATTGTATGCTAAGACATTGGCATTTCTTCACATGCTGATAGTGGAATCTTGGGTTGAACATCCTAAATCATATCTGCTACTTCGTTCATTGCTGATGATCTGACCTGGAGCTTAAAATGAAAGTGATCAATACACTCCTTTATCTCACTATTGGTTTTTTTTCTGACAGAGAGTCTATCATCTACTAGTTTGTCTCCTGTCATTCTATTCTTCAGCCTTAATCTTCTCTCGAATAAAATTATTTATACATCCATTTAAAAGTTCCTTTTCAATAGCATGTTCCATCAAGTGACAGGACCTCTTGCGCAGGACAATCTTAAGATCTCTAGGTTGGTCACCACTTTGTAAAAAAAAATAAAGCTCTTAATCTGCAGATTCTGATGTGTAAGGTTAACTTCCAAAAGTACATCAGTCCAAAGGTAAAGGTATCCGATAAATGTCAGCATGAAAAGACCTTGTACTATACATCTGGCATCCAAATTTTCAAGAGAATCACACATATCTTCAATTCCCGCCACACCCTCATCAAACTGATCTTTTACTGTTTTAACAACAGCATGATGAGATGTCGTCTGTCTTTTCCCCAACATTCCAGTGTGTTCGATTAAAGGATTCATCGACAAATGTATGAAGCAAAGAAGGAAAAGTAGTATCTCAAAAGTACCAAAATATGTAATAAAAGAATCATTTTCGGAAAAAGAGTGTTGTCCAAACAAGTTAAAGGAAATGACCAAAACATCCATTAAAAATCGCTTTCTATTTAATTTGTGCGATTAACGCTTGATCGATTTTCCTTTTATAAAACTAGGTTAGACCAAGCAGTTTTTGATATGTAAATATGCAATGTTTCAATTTGTCGACCTCCTGAGATGGTGTCACCCGGTGCGGTCCGCAAACCGAACACCCTTTTAACTACTCTACTGGTCCTTTTCATGAAATATTACACAATGATAAGGACGCAATTTATTTTTTTTAAAATAGCTTTCTATATATTGTAGATTATTTCCAATGAGGTTATGTCATGAAATGGTTTAGAAAGTCATTTAAATACTTACCATTTTGAGGCCTTAGGGCTTTAAAAGTTAAAGTACCATCAACACTCTCACTGCCATTCCACGTTACGTGTATAGGTAAAAAAGATGTGTTATTATTGTAACATGTACAATTTCCAATATTGTTTTCTTTTATGAAGTCCGTCGCTTTGCAGTCATCATGTAGCAAAGCGTTGGGATAACCTAGGTTCAAAATTTACATTTAATTTTATTGTATGTTATTTAATAATGTGTATGTAATATTTTGTAAACATACATACCTATATTGTCATATTATAACATAACCATTTATATTATTATAATCAAACAAATAAAATCAGGGGGAAATTTATTTTTTTGGTGTAAAGAATGTTTTAAATGACAAAACTTATTACCATTGCTTACATAGTAACTGTTTTACTTTTAATCTTCAAAGACATTTTTCTTTAAGATTTTCTGAAAATTGAAATCTAGTTGTCTGTCATTTTTCTTAATTATACTGAATTATACATGCTTCATTGATCGCATAATAAGAAGTTATCATGTATTTGAATAAACGACTTACTTCAACTTCCCCTAAATCTTTTTTGAAAAATACAAAAAGATAAACATGAGACATACATTGACCATCTATTTTCAAAAGGAAAAACCCTTTAATTTTGGTGCAATCTTACTCATATCTCTCATTTTGAAACTTTAGTTTATTCCCGTCTCCCCACACCCACACCCTGACGCAAATGTGTGATCTTTCGTGTTAAATACACCATAATTTTTTATTTTTTTTAATGATCATTTAATATCTTAAGACTTATAGAAAAAATATTTCTTCTTCTATATATTAAGGCACATGATCAATGTATTCATTATCATGACTCCATTTTATGTGAGGGATTTGCCATGTTTCTCTGCCTGTCTGTGCTGAGGATATTTCACTGGTTGTATTGGGGTTTGGAAAGCCTGAGGCAAGAGATAACAATGCGACTATTGTTGTTGCATCAACAGTTCCTTTTAGAAGGAATTTCCAGTCTTTGATAGTCCTTTTTTTTTACATTTTTACATTATTTTGGATGTTTTTTGTTTTATTTTCCATACGCAACATTTTCAAAAATATATTCCTTTCGTCTGTCGATGATGCTTATATAGATTTGCTTTAAAATACTTTCTAACGTCAGAGATAATGTCCTTCCAACTTTCAGCCTATTCTTTTTTTATTATTATAAATGATTAATTAAGATCGTTTACTCACGAAAACTCGAAATATAATTTTTATAAACATAAAAAACAAAGTTAAAATGTCAAAATACTTATTTAATGAAATATTATTTTATTTAAATAAGCAATTCATTGTGTTATGAACATTTTATATAACACTTACTTATTTTAATGGGATCCGTATAGTTACTTGATCTTCTTGTATTAATTACTGTGAAATTCCTTGTGTCGTTAGGATACATGACAACATAAAACTTATGAGTTCCAGGTCCCAGAATATTGCCAGATAAAGTCAAGTTACATTCTGTTCTGTTGTATCCATTTGTAATTGATGGCCAATTTGCGTAGGCTACTGTTTGGTTATTTACATAAACAGGGTCTGAAATCTTGAAAAAAAGCAAATAAAATATTTAAAATCGTCTTGGTTTTTAGGCATGAGTTAATATATATTTATTACTTTAAAAAAACAACACAAAAAAAATAACGAACATTCACTGAATCCCGGACTCAGTAATCACGAGTTCACTAACAACAAGCCCAATGCAGTTAATGTTTTCCCCATAATGATTCCTCCTATACTTCAATGTTGAATATATATATATATATATATATATTTAAATGTACATATATTTTTTTTTTAAATACGCTTTTTAAAATTTCTAAAGTCCAAAAACGTTTTTTTCATCGGGGTATTTTTGGTTTGTATCGTTTTAATTTTTTCGCACTATTTTATTTTTTGCACTGCATTCGAACTTGCACCATTATTTTCTTTGCGCATGATGTAAAGCTGATAAAATAGTTATATTTCCATTTTTTAAAAAAATGCATCCAAGTTTAAATATCACTGAATGATGTAAAATACGTCAGCAGTCTTTCAAACTACTAATGTTTAGGAATTCTCCAGTAAGAAGCGTTGTTGGTGAGCAAAAAAAACGCTTTAAAATTGTCTACAAAATCATTTATTTTTATGGATATTGACCTTGATTCGTGGGAGACACTTGTCATGGACCGTGCAAGCTGGCGTGTCAGACTTACTGTCGGAGCAAAGTCAACAGAGTATAAAGCATACCGTTCAGGCCAAAAGAAAGCGCATTGCAAGAAAATGCAAACTCAACTTTTTACTACCAGGGCCCAAAACAACGTGTGTCCAACTTGGGAGAAAGCTTTTCAGACGCAGGTGGAGCGTGCATGTTGTTGTTGTTTTTTTTTCTGTTGTATTCGAAAATTCATTTATTTATTTAACAAATAATGTTTTGCCATATTTATCTAAGATTTTTAATTCTTAATTGCTTTGAAGATATTATAATTATTTATTTTACTTGGCATGTTGTAAAAGAAAACAAAATACAGGATTTTTTTCTTTTTAAAAATAGCAACATTTTCAAACAAGAAGTTGAAAAAATTCTAAGACTATAAAGAAATGCCGTTTTTTTTCTTGCTTAATGCATGTAACAGGTTTAACTTTGATTCTTTAATACCATTATATCATTTATACTTTTCATGAATAATAATATTTTAAACTTTTTAATCATTATTTAAAAAATAAATCAAGTCATATGGTTTTCTTTTTTTTTTTTTAAATTGTATATATTTTTACAATAATTAGATCCATTTGAACTATGGTGGAGTTTAAGAAGGCGAAACTTATCTTTAAGTCGTTAAAATGGAAGCTAATGGATCATGCTCTTTCCGCGCTCTATCATTCATTCCTCGTTTTTTTTTAATATGCCGTAGAAATATTGGGGTCAGAGTACCAGTTGTACACACACAGAATACATAGCAATATTATTTCATAGGTTCACTTAATCCAATGATTAAGTATAAAAAGTAAATAGTAATAAAATTGTGTGGTTGGCTCTTCTTGCGAGATAAAAGAAATTTCAGGTAGTTACATGAGATAAAAGTTATAATTTTACTCTAAAGCAGTGATTCCCAAAGTGGACTATATCGACCCTTAGTGAACGACGTCAACTTGCAAGGGGACCACGTCAGAAAGAAAAAAAAATGGGGTCCGTGAAATGAAAAGGGGGGTCAACGATAGTGGATCTCATGTAAGCAGGTCGTGACTTCTATTTTGGCATTACATAAATGAAATAATCACCATACATAGATAGTACCTATTTATTTACATAATAGCACCTTATAATAAAAAGACATATATCTTGTTACATAAATTCTAAAAGGACATATGAAGTTAAAATTTTAAAAACTGAAATGTTCATGAAACCTGATGAAGAATCAGATTAACATTCAACTTATTTGGCATATTTTCTGATGAATGAAATTGCAAATATTTACACAAGAAGATTTCAATATCATAACTCATTGCATCAATACGTCTTTCAACTGTGTTGTTGTTTAAAGGAATTATTTTAATGACATCAGATGCAGGTTTGTGTTAAACAGTTTTTAAAACATCTTCAAGGGCTGGCAATAACAAGGGGTTTAAGCGTAGTTACCGAATTCCTATCAAAATAAAGAAACATATTGGATATCTTTAGCGAGGAGATTTAAGATTCAACATAACTAAATTGATGCCGAATGTTGAAAATTTATTATTAAGGCATCAGGTTCAACCCTCACACTAAAAGCATTTATACATAAAAGTTATTTTATGTAACAGAAAGTAAAATTGTAATTTCATTTGTTTTAATTTGAAATAATTAATTACATCATATATCATATCATATAGACTCTCTCTATATATATATGTAAGTGAAAGTTTGTTTGTCTGTCTGTCTGTTTGTTCAACAAACGCTTTTACATGGATTGATGGATCTTGACCAAACTTGTCACACATATCTATCATGATCCAAAAGGAACTCTTAAGGGGTTATGAACTTTTTATAACATTCGGTTGGGAGCCGCGGGCCCCAAATTTATTTTTTCCTATATATGAGCTATGTAAAAATAATTAGAAAGAAATACTCCTACATGAATTGATGGCTATTGACCCAACTTAGCACACATACACTTGATTATCCATACTAAAAAACCATAAGGTACCGACCTCATAATATCCATCGCCCTGGGGCCGGGGGCCCCGTTTAATTTTTCTTAGAAATATAATTAGGCTTACTACTCCTACATGAATAGATGGATCTAGACCAACGGTGGCCAAACCACGGCTCGCGAGCCGCACGCGGCTCTTCTGTGTTCACATTGCGGCTCGCGAACAATTTATGAAATTAAAACTTTAAGTTTGAAATATATAATGTATAAAAGTTAGTAGCTTATTATTTAAAAGTTTCAATCAAATATGGCAACAAGTTGCAGGAAACGAAAATATAAAGAAGAAAATAGAAGTTTTCTACCAGAATGGGAAGAGGACTTTGCATTGATCGATAAAGAGGTCGGCCAATTTGCCTCATCTGCTAAACACCGCTAGCAAATTACAAAGCTAGCAATTTGAAGCCCACTATGAACAAATTCAAAGCATCCAGCAATAAGTAGTAACTAGCATCTAACAGAACGTGTTCGCACCACAACTACTAGCTACCAACCAGATTTAAAGAAACTTGCTAGTTCAAAGGCTTCTCAGCAGAATCATAACCGTTAATGTTCACTATAATTATGAGTATATATGCAGTGTGTCTCTATTCATACATTTTATATATTTAAATATTTGTTAATTGTATAACTGTAAAGCTATATTTCTTCAATATACGGTTAGGGTTAAAACAATTGAAATGTTAAAATCATTAAATTAAAAAAAAAAGTAATTTTTAAAAATAAATCACAAAAGAATTTTTTTCATTGCGAGTGGGGTCGTGACCCATAGAGCTTCAATGCGGGTCTCAACAATTTTTTTTTCATTTTAAAAATGGCTCTCAGTTACCACAGGTCTGGCCACCCCTGATCCAGACCAAACTTATTAAAAATACACTTAATTATCCATATTTAAATAACGAAGGGTAGTGAACTCATAATGTCCATCCCTCAGGGGTTGGGGGTCCCGTTTCATACTTTCTTGTATATGCTACATAAATATCAATAGGATTAAATAACGCCAGAGGTTCTATGTGAATTGATGGATATAGGCCTAGCGTGGTAGCAATAACCTTCATTGCCGTATTGAAATATTGGTGAATGTAAAACTAAGAATATCCAATTTAGAATTTTCCAGAAAGTTCGGTAATTTTAAAAAGCTATATCTATGGCATTATTAAGTAGATTTTAATGGGGCAAATTTTTCATTTTAACTTTATTGTTTATCAATCTAATTTTTATAGGGTCCCCTATCTCAGGCATAACTAAATCGGTACAGTTATGGATTTGGCCCCTGGGCCCCTCGATTAACTTAAAACAAAAATGATTATAATTATGGCTTTTGTTTAAGATTTGTTATCGTATTTGGAAAATAATTCGAAAAATAGTTTTTACAAATGTTTCGAGGATATATTAAAATTAATCTAGAATGTTCCAAAAAGTTATAAATTGTTCCAAGGAGTATATAGTGGGATCTAAGGGTATATCGAAATTTTACTTAGTTCTGTTCATTTCTAAATTGCCCTGGAGTTTACTGTTCTCTCAGTATCATTGAATAATTTTTTGATATGGGATCCCAAATGGGTCGGGATCCCATCATAATCTTTATCCCAAAGGGATCAGGATTCCACCAGAAAAGTGGATCCCACCGGGATCTGGATCCTGACCTTTTATGGATCCACCGTGATGGGGATCACACCGGGATACGGGACTGCGCCGAGATTGGTGTTAGAATGGAATCGGGGTCCCAATGGGATCAGAGGTCACACCAGTATCGGGGTCCTAATGTAATTCCGGGCCACGCCGGGTATATAGGTTAGTATATATAAAAAGTGAAAATTTGTTTGTGGGTTTATGGATTTGTTGGTGGGTTTGTCCCAAAAAGGCTTTTACATGGATTGATGGATCTTGACCAAACTTGGCATATATATCCATCAGTATCCAGAAGGAACTCTTAAGGGATTATGAAATTTTTATAACATTTGGTTGGGGGCTGAAGGCCCCGAATTCGTTTTTTTTTTCCCCTTGTAATAGTTATATAAAAATAATTAGAAACAAAAATAGATGCATATTGACCCAACTTAGCACACATACACTTGATTATCCATACGAAAAAACCGAAAGGTACCGACCTCATAATAACCATCGCCCTGGGGCCGGGGGCTTCATTTGTCCTTATATAATAATAATAATAAGTGGTCTTATATAGCGCGGTACCCCGGCCTAGGGCTGGGCTCACCGCGCTGTACATAAATATAGCAAAGAGGCATAATCATAATATTAAAATAAAATACATAAATGAAATAAAAACAACATATAAGCAAAACAACACCATAGGTATATTCATCCACCCACACCAGACATTTTTACAAGGAAACCCATGTACGTTTATCGGTTTATAGGAGGAGAATCAGTCAGAGTAGTATAGTTTAAATAGATGTGTTTTGAGTGCAGTTTTGAAGGCCTGTGTGGTTGTTATATTGCGGATGTGTAGTGGCAAAGAATTCCATTGTTTGGGGGCGCAGAAAGAGAAAGATCGTTCACCATATAATTTAGTGCGTGTCTTGGGAACGGACAGAATACGCGAGTCTGCTGAGGAGCGAAGTTGTCTAAGGGGTGAATAGACAGAAGAAGTTCAGTTAGATAGGAAGGGCAGGAATCCGAGAAAAAGTTGTGACAGAGAAGAGACAGCTTGTAGTCAATGCGTGCCTGTATAGGTAGCCAATGTAGTGAGTGGAGTAGTGGAGTGACGTGATCACGTTTTTTTGCCCTAAGAACAAGCCTAGCAGCAGAGTTTTGAACTTTCTGCAGTTTTTCTATAAAATGTTTCGGTGAACCTGACAGAAGTGAGTTGCAATAGTCAAGACGAGAGAGAACAAGAGCACAGACTAGAGTTTTTGTTGCGCTAACTGTCAGGTAGTGGCGGATGGAGCTGATCTGACGGATGGCGGTGTATGCCGAACGACAAATGTGAGAGATATGTTTATCGAGAGACATGTTGTTAGAAAGAATATAACCAAGATTCCTAGCAGAGGGTGTAAACTGTATGTCGGAGTTACCTACTTGAAATGAGGTGGGAAGAGTTGAGGTAGAGGATGATTTGTGATTGTAAATGAGGAGTGCTTCTGTTTTGTCATCATTAAGCTTCAACTTGCTGAGTGTCATCCAAGACTTGACATCATCAATGCACCCCCGCAAAGTCTGGACAGCGGAATCGACAAGAGATGGATGGGTATGCATGTATAGCTGCGTATCATCTGAAAATGACTGGTTCTCAACAGCATGCCTCCCGAGCAAGAGGAGTAGTGGCCTGGTATACATTATGAATAGAACCGGACCCAAAACGGACCCCTGTGGCACTCCGTACACCAAATCAGCACTGCCGGAGAGACAGCCATCGACAGAGACCATTTGCGTTCTATCAGAGAGGTAGGACCTAAACCAAGCCAAAACCGAACCAGAAATTCCAAAGTAGTTTTCAAGGGTTTTGAAAAGGATTTCATGGTCAACAGTGTCAAAGGCCGCACTGAGGTCTAAGAGGATCAAAATGGAGACATTACCGCTGTCCATTGCGCGCAAGAGGTCATTACTGACTCTCAAGAGAGCTGTCTCCGTGCTATGGAAATGTCTATAGGCCGACTGATTAGAACTGAGAAGAGAGTGATCATTTAAGTAAGCAAAAAGTTGTTTTAGGACTAGTTTTTCAATAACTTTAGATAAAAATGATAAGTTAGATACAGGTCTATAGTTTTTTAAATTATTTTCATCCAGACCGGGCTTCTTAAGCAATGGTTTGATGACAGCTGATTTGCAAAGAGGCGGAACAGTGCCAGAATATAAGCTTTCATTTATTATGCGGGTTATTGTTGGGAGCAAGATATCTAATGACTCAACCAACAGGGGGGTTGGGATGGGATCCAAAGAACATGACGTATGTTTAGATTTTAGGATTATATTTTTTACCTCAAGTTCTGAAACAGGTTTAAAAATATTAAAATGTGAAGTAAGACAAGGGAAAGGAGGCAACTCAAGGGGAGGGGCATCAAGACGATCAAGCTCAGCTCGAATGTCAGCTACTTTGCTTGTAAAGAAATCACAGAAAATATCTGGTTGCTTGGGCAGGGGAAACACCGAAGGAAGCACAGTTCCTTTGTTAGCTAAATAAATATCAATAGGCGTAATACTCCTACATGAATAGATGGATCTTGACCAAACTTATTATACATACACTTAATTATCAATATTTAAATAAAGAAGGGTACTGAACTCATAATATCCATCCCTCTGCAGCCGGAAGCCTTGTTTCATTTTTTTCTAATATAAGCTATATAAATATCAATAGGATTCAACCTCACTATAGGTTCTATTTGAAGTAATGGATATATGCCTAGCCTGGTAGAAATACACTTCATTGTCCGTATTGATACAAAGGTGCATTTAAAACTAAGAATATCCAATCTAGAGTTTTCCAGAAAGATCCATAATTTTAAAAAGCTATATCTATGGGATTTTTATGTAGACTGGGACAATTGTTTTTTTATTCAGGTTAGAAACCAAGGCTGTCACAATCTCATTATAATCCTTACTACAATGGAACCAGGATCCAACCAGAAAACGGGATCCCACGGGATCAGGATCCCAACTTTGAATATATTCATCGAGATCGGGATCAAATGGGAAAACGGGACTGCGCCGGGATCAGTGTCACATTTGGATTTAAGGTCCAAATGGGATCGGGGTCCAACGAGAATCAGGTCCTAATTCAATCTAGGGCCACTTCGGGTATATCGGCTAGTAAATATATAAAACTTAACATGTTTATATTTTTAAAAACTTTCCCACTACACTTCACAACTGTTATAAATTAAAATCTTTTAAAAAGAGTAGAACTATATCGGCTGTCAAAAATACATTTGATGTTAATGAATTTGCAAAAAAAAATATATCAGGTAAGCAGTGATGTCTACACAAAACCGAAAAAACTGGCAATTCGTCTACGAGATAAAAAAGTTTAGGGACATCTGCTCTAAAGGTCCAATCATCATGTCTTTTGGGAAATAAAGCCAATAAAATTTATTGCCTTTAGCATTTATTATTTCTAAAACTTAGCGAATAAATTTTACTCATAAATTTTGTTTTACTTTAAAATAAATTTTGGGAAAAAGCTTCTTATCACAATGTATATTTTAAACACTTATATAATCGTAATACTTAAGCACGTTGTATCAATTATCATATATTTTAGTACTCACAACCGTTCAAAAACGGGCATTGAGCTACTTCCATCTATTTGCAAAAGACACACACACACACACACAATATATATATATATAAAATGGCAATAAATAGTTTTCTATCTAAATAAGTTTGTTCCAATCTTCCTAATGCGATCCTTTAGTAGTTTAAGAATTTCTCATTGTAGGGTGGCGCTAAGCCGTAAATTATTTTCCTTGATGCTTGATAACTGTAACTTTGCTAATTTTATAAATCTGATCTTCAGGGCGTTTTTTCATTGTCACAAATTGAAAAAAATTAAAGCATGGCAATTAATCACAAAATCAATATGTATTTATATTTTATGAAATATTTATATCTAGTTACAAATACGTGAAATTTTGAAGCATGAGGCAACATGGGTAGCATCCCTAACATAACAGAAAACTACACTTGCACTGCTACACTGCTACATTTCATGGATCAAATCAATCGTTTTCTTGAAACATCGGAAATATTTGTTTTCTAGGGTTACGTAAAGGGGTAATACCGCTAATCTAAATCATTTTTGGATTATTTAACTTTATTTGCTAGTTTGTCATTTTTAAGTAGCTCTTCCTCCCATGCGTGATTAACCGTTACGTGTTCATCTACCGCAATACTTTCTTAAATCATTTGTAACTTACATTTGTTTTGGAAAAAAACTCGCATACTGCCTCAGGTGAAATTTTGCCAGTAGAACATTGCACTTCAATATCATCTTTTCCAACAAGAATTGGATAGTAACATGTAACTTCCTCTGGCAAAGCTTAAATAAAGAGAATTCATTTTTTAAATAGTTTGGTGTACTAAAACGGTTTTACCTTTAAAAAAAAAAATACTTCAAAAAATAATAATGTTAAAATTAATTGAAAATAAAATACAATTTAGATCGTTATTTTTTCTATTAAGAAATAACAATTTTGCATTGCTGATAATTAATATCAAATTGTAATTTGTATTAGAGAGTAAGTTAATACTGTATGTTTTGTTTTAATTGTGTAAGGCCCTAGCTAAACCCGGTATGTGTTGCAATGCCGATCAAACTAATAAAGGTGCATGTATTTTAATTACTTTTTTAAGCACATTTTAAGTAGAAAATATTTTTTTCCGTCTGTTGCGTAAAAATAAATAAAAATGATCCACTGGATTGAAACCCTTATTTACGCAAAACAATATTTTGCATTTCATATTTGTTGTTATTATTTGGATGAGTAATAAGTGAATTAGTGAATTTTATTTGGCCATATAGTTTCGATGTATATTTTTAATTTAAAGGGAATTTTCTTATTAAAATTATATTTAAAGGTTAAGTTTTTACAACTTAATGCGTTTTAAAAAATATACATTTGGAATGAAAAGAAGTAAACATTTTTTAAATATTTAAATACAAAGCTAAATTGTATTTAATTTTATTAAATTTTAGCAATTTAAAAAAGTAATCAATTATATTTTTGAATTTTACTTTTAAGAAGGGGAAAATACATTTTCAGTTCAATCACACGCAGTTTTTAAATCAAAGTAACTTAGAGCTACGGCTTAAATATGTAATCACGTTATGATGTCATTTGCGTATTTATTTAGAATCAAATTATTTTTTTTTTCCAAATATTAACAGTGCATAAAAAGCCCACTAAAAATAACAGATGTTGGTTATTTCCCGAACAATGTAATTACGATTAAAATTAAATCGTATTTTTTCAAATTAATTTCAATTCATAACTTTTACATTCGGACAAAATGCTTAAAATAGTTCCATAGTTGTTACTTAAATGTATTTGTCATTCATGATAACAATGCTCTAATTTTTACTAAAATAAAAGCGGATATATAATTTTTTTTCGGCATTTAAATCTATTCGATTTCTGTAAAATGATGTAAAATAACAATGATTATTATTAAAAATCCGAACGTATTTTAATCTTTACGTTTCTTTCTCTTAACGGTAAGCCTAGCTCATTCTTATATATATTAATGCCAAGTTCTTAAAAAATATATGTTTGATCCTTTATACAACAATGAACTTACCAAATACAAAAAGAATGTATGTAGCATTTGTGTAGGTACTGGAAGAACCACTATTACTATTAGTATCAATAAAACATATCCACTGTGATTTATGTAGATCTAGTGTCACATTTTTAATTAACAAAAAACTGCGAAAGATTTCACCATTCCTTGTTATGTTTGCTTCGTAAGGTATTCCATCAGTTTCTGGATCACACGATTCAGAAGTACAAAACATTAATTTTGTTTCAGCTCCATTGCTTCGTCTTAACTTCCAAAGAATCGGGATTTCCCTCTTTACATTTCCAACACACAAGAATAAATGTGGATCGCCTTCTGAAGCCCAATCAGCAAAGGATAGGCCTGAAAAATGGTAAATCCAGAAACGTTACCATTATTTACAACATATACAAAGTAATTGATGACATCGAAATTATGTTTTTTTAATAAATAATAATTGCGATAGGCATGAGTAGCAAATGGAACTTAAATTTTGTCTGCTTTTAAGGGCAAAAATATGTTTAACTTTGTGGCATAGCTATAATACCGTAAAACGCTAAGAATTATAAAACTTTGTATTTTGAAGGAGTCAACATATTTAAATAACTTTTAAAAAAAAAATATTTAATTAAAAAATATATTATTTATGAGTGTCACGGGTCTTTTTTTTTGTGTATGTTTGAAAAGAGTTAATCTAATTATTTTATTTTTTGTTGTAGAAATGATACAAAGTTCAAACTTAATATTTAAAAGTATTTAAAGTTGTTTAACATTTATGTTGTGTTTATAAGTTTTAAAATTGTTCTTCTAGCCATCTTCACTGCTTCATTAGTTTTAGATAACTGCTTTATAAAGTATGCCACCTAATGTCCCTATCATATATTGTGTTTAGAGTTATACCATCTCCATTTAATTTTGTTTGTTAGGTATATATTTGCCTCACTTACGCCCAACAATTTTCTTTTGTATTTAATGTATTCCAATATTGCTCCAGGTATTTAGAGTTATGAAAGAGCTTACATTTTTCACTATTCTCACATAAACAGTCACATAATTTTTTCATTCCCAGAACCGTATAAACTTTAGGCTAATAGAATTTTCAAGTATTCTAATAATGCATTGCTTTTTGTATGAAAAAGAAAACAACATATTTTGAAATTCTTAACACACAAAAGATAATATCATCCGTTACATGTTCCTTGTATACTCTTTTGTTATTACAAATAAATTGCTATAGACTTATAGTACACGATTCAGTCAAATTCATTTAAAGAAAAAGTGAAATTGTGAAGCAACTAACAATTACTAGTTGGCCTGAGTAATTTAAGGAAAGGCGTTTAAGATAAATTATTTTATAGTCTAAGAAACGTATGTACATTTTAAACACTCAAGAAGAGTGATAAATGCATTTTGCATGCATGTGTAGCAGGATAAACATAATAATTATGTGTTTCATACATTTGTAATTGTTGTTATGTCAAAAAATATGTGTCTATTGTTGATTAATACAATGTTTTAATGGAAACGTTGGTGGGTGAAAGATGGATAGGTGTAAATATGAAAGGTAAAAGTTGGAGATTCATATTAATCTTATGTGTAGGTATACTTTTTTTTTGGTAAAAGTTATGTGGATTTTTAAAAATAAAAAAAGTTACATATAAGGTAAGTCCATTTTTATTCAATAAATGTAATCATTTCTGGAAATCAAACTTTTTGTGTGTGCTCTCAGTCCAATTAAGTATGTAAAATATATGTAAGATAAGGAACTTTTTACTGTCACCTATAATTATATTAAATACATGCTTGCATCCCATTTATGTCCCAAATGAAACCTTACTTATTTGGATGAGCCAATCGAAATTGAATTATAAGTTAAATTGTAACACCGCTAAAAGTATGAGAACCCCTTTTGGAAATTTTGCAAGAGGATTTTCCTTCAAATAACAATATAGTATTAAGGTTATCTGAGTAAAAATTGATGTACTAAATCTGTGATTCACAATTTGGGTGATACAATCCCAAAGGGGTTGTTGCATTGCTCAAGATACTTGTTACGGAAACAGTAGTATTATCTAAGGAAGCGTAGGTGAATTTATAGTGCTTACTTTTGAAAATCAATTTGTGTGTCCAATTAATTAATAAACACTATTCGATTTTCAGCACATAGATAGTATATACAAAAAATACTCTTGAAAGAAAACCTGATTTTCAAAAGTGGACTAAAAAGTTTTTAAAAAGTGTCAATTAATCTGCAGAGATGTTAAAGCAAAATAAATAAATAAAATGCGTGGGGCGCCCAAAAATACCAGGTTGTCTAGTATAAACGCTTGCATTGCTGCAAATAATTGTTATGTAACATAATATTTATAATACAGATTATTTAATTATGTAAATGTTTGTCCACAAAAACTCCATGTAATGATGTATGCTACCCTCGATCGTGATCTTGTAAATTTGAATAAAATAAGTGATCCCGCTGCCCGCATGTCTTTAAGATTTGCATAGAACATTCAGTTCATGGACGTCCTACGAATAAAAATTTCAGGGTACATTTATTTTATACATTTTAGAAAAGCTTATTTTCTTTAAAATGTTTAAATTGTTTTATTTTTTACTTATTAGTTTTAAGAGATGTAAAAAATAAAATGAAGGATTATATTGTTACTGAGGGTGGATATACAGAGTATAAAATTTCAGCTATCTTGGAGACCAGAAAGTGGGTCGAAATTTAGATGCAATATTTAATAAGCGAATGTCGCTCGAGAACCAGTGCCCAACTTCATGCAAACGAAATGCCTATCTCGCACTCGTCCGTCCACTGCTGGAATATGGTGCAATAGTCTGGGACCGACACCTTAAGCAAGACGTGGACACGATGGAGCGAATTCAACGTAACGCGGTGCGTTTTATCGCTCAAGACTACAAATCCACCACTCCTGGCTTCATCACTGGCCTCTTAAAAAGATTTGACATCCCCCCCTGCCTTAAAGACAGACGAGAGGGACTCCGCCTGATATTCTTATATAAAGTTATCATGGGACTGGTGCCGGCCATCCCAGCAGGCACGTACCTCACCCCACAGAAGCCGGGTAGACTGATCAGAGCAAAACGCTCACTAAACACTTACTTCACCACTGACATTCCCATAAACAATTACACCAGAAACAATAGCAAATGCTTTAAAGTGCCTCAGTGCAACACAGTGAAGTATCAACAATATTTCTTCCCACGCACAATAATAGCATGGAACCACCTGAACAATGCCACTGTGATCTCGACATTAGTCGAAAACTTCAAGGCTGCCCTGGGATCAGTTAGGAGCTGTTAGAACAGCAAGATTTTATCCCCAACCTTTGCAAAGATGCCAGTACATGGATGCAGCAACGTAACATTACCAGAACTAGAACCAGTGAAAGTCTATAGAGATCTATTGATCAGTAGTTATAAGATGGTATTAAGTGATGGAAAAGTGAACAAAGTTTTACTTCATATGAAAATTTATTATCGGGACTAAATTAAAATTAAATTTGATCCTGCACACACCACCAAAACGACAGAGCAACCAAAAAACTAATACAATCGTGAACAGATATATTTTAATTATAATAAAAACTGACAGTCACACGTGGAAAGAAAATGTATCTTTTCAACAGTGCGCACGGTAATAACAAATACAAATTTTAGCAAAGTGAAATGAAAAGGCTCTATAAAAATTGACTGTAGAATAGACGCTTACAGTTTTATATATATTTCCCACCGAAGTAAAACGAATGGCATCTAATTCCTACTTTTTCTCTTCTATTTTAGTTTTCATAAGCATTACTGTAAAGCTTGAGTCGGATGTCTGATAAACAATGGTTTTATAAGTAAAAACATTAAAAACAATTTATGGAACGTTGAAACAATATACCATGAACGTCATGGTCTAATTCTCCTTTTAAAACTTTGATGCGGCCCCTACTGGTCACCATCAATCTCTTTTAAATTACCTCTCTACTTTTCGTTCCTTTTTTTTCAGATATTTTTTTTATCCTACCTACTTACTTTCTTCCACAATCCTCTTTCTGCCCTATCAGATTCTACATTTGAGCTTAGTGATTTTTTTAAAAGCAACTTAAGTTCTTTTCAGTTGTTTGTTCCCTGATCAAGGCATCCTGCCGACACGTGGGTTTTTTTGTTTAGTGCCTATTTTGCAAGTTTTCCCATACATGTTTCACTTATTTTCTTTTTTGCCAACCTGATAGAAGTCTCTCAGTTTTATTAGCATTTTAATTTTTTAAATATCTTAGTTTAAATGTATTTTCTTTGAAAAGTGACACTAGGATTATCAAATGTATTTGTAAACTGTTAAAATATATCTTGTTATTTATTTTACACTAGCGAGAACCCGGCATGCGTTGCAAGGCCTCTCAAGGAAAGAAAGTGTTTGCATTGTAATTATGTCACTTCAAGAGCTTTTAAATACATAAAGTTTTTCTTTTTTTCTTTCTGGTACATACACGAATAAATCAGATGTTTTTCCAACGCGAGAGCAGGCCACATACATCTGTCCATGGGAGTAGCATGGGTTTTACAATTTTAGTCAGCAAACTTGTAGCGATTGTCCCTGTGCTTTGTAGATAGTCATTGCAAACGCGTGTCGCACCGTAAAATGCAGACGTTTGAATTCAAATAGCATCATTGAGATGCGTGACAACGGTACATCAGCTCCTTTAAATTTTCCATTTAAAATAGTAGCTTCAGCTTCAATGGTATTTTTCATTATGTTTTTCATTGAAAAGTGTTACCGTTGTAAAGTCGTGGTTGATTTTTGTTTCATTAAAGAATGATAGGCACGCCAATTTTCAATATTAAAACGTGCGATGGAATGCCTGGCAAGTCAAGTAATTGGATAATTGACAACTTCGTCTTAATTCAATACAGTATCGATGGACTTAACGTTGTCGTTTCGCCTGGGATTTCACTTTGAATGCTTAAGTTGATTGCATTGTAATCGTTGTTTTTGGCTGAAAATATAACACGTGCACTGAGCCACTGATGATTTTTGTAATACTGTGCGATATTTCGAAAAACTGTATGTGTGAATTCGTCGGTGGTAGCTGTAGTTCTACAGAAGCTTGTTGGCAGTGAAAAACATTGAGAGGATTCATCAATTGCCATTTTCCCTTTCCCTATGTCCAACAATTGTTTTGCGAAACGTTCAGCGGATGCATCATCATGTAGTTCTACACGCATAATCGTCTTCAAAGTCAATTTCTGTACATGCCGCCATAAAACTGATGATTTGAGACATGTATTTAATTCATCAGCAGATGTTGAGGCCACCATCCAAAAGAGTTGCTGCAATTCCAGATGATGCAAAAGCCAGTGCAATATTTTTTTGTGATCGTATTATTGCCAAAATGAGTGAAATTAGGAAAGATTTTCCTGTGCCTCCGGGCGCAGCTAGGAAATATAGTCCACCGATTTGATTGGTAATTGCATGCATAATTCTGTAATACAATATGAGTTGTTCTGGAACAAATTTCGGAAGATTCATCCAAACATATATACCTAATTCTTGGATTTCAAAATGCGTTTCTCGTTTCAAATCACGATTGAAAAGCTTGTTTTCAGATCGATTTGGACAAGTCATTCCTAACACTACCAGTGCTTTGTTAGATTGCCAAGGACATGTCCACAATCGAAACAAATGCCTCATTATACTCTTTTGGTGTAAATTTAATGTCCGGATTTTGATTCGTTGCATGCAAATGATGTAGGATATCTTTTTTTCGGTAGTCTTTGTATTTCTCCCAAAGATCTTTTGGATCTGATGAGAAGCCATTTGTCAATATGATTGCAAACAAAGTGCGTATTTGCTGTGTTTGAGCAATATTCGATGCATAAGAGAGCGAAGTATCCCAATGAGCATCGTTTTCCAAAAGTTTTCATTCTTGGCAAGCTTCACGATAATTTGCACATACTTGACCGTTTACTGCTCTCAGTTCTTGGAAGGATGTTGGTCCATGTACATTGATTAACAGAACAGTAATCGCAAGTAAAAGCATTCTGCATTGTTTGGGTGAGCAGTAGACAGACGGCTTAATGCTTGGGCCGAATATAAATTGGGGTGTCCTTCAAATGCTTTACCCTGTTTGCGACATTGAAAATGTTTCGCTGATGCATTCCATGTGTAATATGTTGGCACTTCAGAGTAAAGTAGCGTCTTTGCAAAAATATCATTCCGGGACATTGAGAAAAATGCAGTTAACGTTGTTGACGGAGGTGACACTGCTCTTACACGTGCATTTTCTGTTGTAAAGTACACTTGCTGTCCGTTTTCAAGATGCTCTGCGAAATGAACAACTGTTGGATGGCCTTCATGGATTGGGAAAGATAAAATGCGCCATATGCTTCATTTCTATTCATGTAGCGTCCAAGTTGATATTGTTAGAATTTATCGATTGAGCCAGATTTGTTTCTACTCCAAGAACTGCCACATCGCTTCCTTTGTTAACATATTTGCAAATGTACTTGATAGATTTCACCGAATTTCAATACTCGACATTGATGTGTGCTTCGAATATTTACGAGAGTAACGGTGAATACGGTACAACCCAACGATTATTGACTTCAACATAATTGCTTCGTACTTTTAAAGTGATTGATTTAATGCCATCTTCAGTTTATCATCGACGATACAGTGGATAGCCATCATTGCCAGCGATAGTCTCCGCAATTAAATCTCTTGAGTATCGTTTTGTGCATTTCCTATCAGACATGCATGGTGAATTTTTGTCGAGTAATCCACATGGACCGTAAAATCATGTTTTTGGTGACGATTTCTAATAGGTATTGATTAATGTTGGCATCTGGTATTTCTGCAGAAATGACTTTATCAATGTGATCTCGTTTGCCTTTTTCGATCAATCAAATTAAAATGTGTCCATGTTGCAATCCTCGTTCGGTTTCGATTCATGTAAAATGTCTTTACGTAACACAAAACAACTCCGAAATTATAAGACTCTATTCAAGAAATACTTTTAATTTAAAAAAAACAACATGTGTTCAACGTCATATCCGATTCTAAAATGCGTCACAAAATTCAAGCTGATTTATAAGATTAACAAAAATACTCTCTACACTAAAAATGAAAAACGTGTTTTCTCTGCTTTACTACAAATGTGTAATTTGTTCAAGGACGGTAGTGTTGATAGCTCCGTTTTAAATTATATTGATGAAGCTCATTTAAGAAAACGAAAAGAATATTGTAAAATGGTTGTGAATTTGCGAGTGGATTCAGCTCCATCCACACATGCAATAGATCTGTTTGAAATTATAGTTATAAAATGAAATTATGGTCACTGGCCAAAACGGAATATTGTAAAAGGTTTTTCTAATTTAGAAACGTTTGCGGTTTTGCGCATTTCAATTGATTACGTTTTATCACAATCGGATAAATGGTTTAGAAATGCATACGATAATTATATAGTTAATAAAAGAGTGGAAAACGAATTTTGGGCCCCCGTCCACAAACGGAATATTGTAGAATTGTTGTATTACTTCAGAAACCTACTTAATATGTCACACACACAATTTAATGTCAATATTTGTAGTTTCTTAAAAAGGTATCCATCCGTGCATTAGCTCAGTTTTATCGCAATCGCTTGAATGGTGTAGGAGCGCATACAGTTTGAAATTATATGTATATGGCTAATGTTAGAAAAAACGAACATAGGGCCCCTGGCTCAAACTTGAATTTTTTAAAACGGTTGTAATAATTTAAGAACCTTTGGGGGCGATTGCACATCTCACTAACGTTTTTTTGCATTCTGGGAAATGGTTTAGGAGCACTTATGGAAATTATTTTTACAAAGCTCATATAAGTAAAAACATTAATTTGGGTCCAACGGCTGAAGACGGAATATTTTAAAAGTATTGTAATGAATGAGTAAAATGCGCAGGCGTATTGATAACAACTCACCAAAGTTTTGTCGCAATCGCATTATTGGTGTAGGAGCGCATACGGTTTGATAATATATGTATATAGTTTATAAAAGAAAAAAGGAACATGGGGTCCCTGGGTCAAAACGGAATATTTTAAAACGCGTCTCATAATTTAAAAACCTTGCGGTGGTGCTGGCGGCTACATCTTATTAATTTTAATGTAATGGAATAAATGGCGTAGGAGCGCATGCAAAAATTATTTTTTACAAAGCTCATATGATAAAAAGTACGAATTAAGGGCCAACGGCCAAAAACAAAATATTTTTTAAGTGTTTAAATAACACATTTAAATGCTACGCCTTATGAAAAAGAACTTTCCAAAGTTGTTTTGCAATCGCATGAATAGTGTAGGAGCGCATACGGTTTGAAAATATATTTATATAGCTCATTTTAGGAAAATGCAACATAGAGCCCCTGGCTCAAAACTGAATATTTTAAAACGCTTGTAATAATTTAGAAACATTTACGAGCATGCTGGCAACATCTCACCAAAGTTTTATCAGAATCGGATAAATGGCGTTGGAGCGAATGTGGAAAATATTTTTTACAAAGCTCACAGAAGAAAAAAAAACGAATTAAGGGCAACGGCTAGGAATGAAACATTTTATAAGGTTTTCAATGACTCAGTTAAATGGCCAATTAGTTGGACAACTGACCAAAGTTTTGTCGCAATCGCATAAATGGTGTAGGAGCGCATACGAGACATACATACATACAAACATTCATTTTTATATGTATAGATAATTGTGCAAAAATAATATTCTTAACTTTTATTTTAATGTGTGGAGATAGGGGTGTTAAGTGAGTGTTAATGGCTTTAAGTGTTTGGTGGACGAACATAGCTTGAGAGCATAACTATATGGAATGAAAAACGCCGGATGAACTGGTTGCCAAACTGTTTCTTACCGAAAACTCGAGAGTTGTAGATATCTCATAGGGTTGCTTTGAAATATTTCACACTTTTCATAATTGCAATTACTTTTCAATTAAGTTTGGAGGGAACCTGAGATCTAATAAACTTGAGGCAAATCAGTAATTACCTAAATAATAACTCTTTTTGGAATAGTGAACCAGAAGCAGTCAACAATTATTTATTGTTTTAGAATACCAAATAGTTTGTGAACTTAGTTGGTACTTCATGTTTCTTATAATAGCTACCCATGTCTCTAGCTGTTAATGTTGAGTTAGTTTTCAGAGCTTCCATCAACTCAAGTTGTTTTCAAATTAAGTGAATTTATCGAATTATTTTAATTTACAGCTGATACACGTGAGGGGATCACATTTGTAACAGAAATTAGAGAACTAGAGCCAATTAACGATTATATGGCAAAACATAGAATTACTTAGTCTAGCAATTTGTTTATTATGCTTGTTTGTAATCTCGCATGTTCAGCCTACAATAGTAGGCACTACAGTTTCTAATCAAGGGGAAGACAACTCTAGCGATGGATCAAATCTATTAAGAAAACTCTTAAAGTCTACAACATGAGCCTTCAGCAGACGTAACACATTAAGACAGATAGGGTACCTCTAAGCGATAACTCCCCGTTAAAGTGAATGAATAAGGAAGAAAATTGAACAATTTGTAATGATAAATTTTATCTTCTTAGCACTAAAACTCGGAGAATGCTACTTCTATTTGCGACTATTTTCGAATACTGTATTGATCCGACGAAAGGTTTTTACGACAAAATCAATGGGGAGAGAAAAATTTGGATGATTTATAGTTTGATTTCAAGATTTGAGGAAATGGGGCTATACATACCAATAATTATAGTAAGTCGACGACTTCACGTACTTATGTGTGTTCATAAGTATTTTTTTTTATTCGTAATATAATTATTATTAATATGTATTAGGTAAAAAATTAATTCATTTAAAGTTGACTTAAGATATCCCGTATTCTTAAAGAGCTACAGTACGAATAAATGGTTTGGGATACTCTGGCCTAATTTTTTTTTTTAAATAATAAAAAAACAAGTTTCCTTTTTTTTTTTTTTTTTAATTTTAAAATTTAGAAAACTATATTGCCAAAATAGTTAATCATATTTTTTTCATTTGCAAAAATAATTGTTCAATTTTAATTTGTTTTCCTTTGAATTTAGAAGAATTACTGTGTAAATAAAAATTTTTATAAATTTTTTTTTTTAAATAATAAAAAAATATTTTTTTTTTTTTTTTTTTTTTTTAAATTTAAAATTTAGAAAACTATATTGCCAAAATAGTTAATCATATTTCTTTCATTTGCAAAAATAAGTGTTCAATTTTAATGTGTGTTCCTATGAATTTAGAAGAATTACTGTGTAAATAAAAATTTTTATAAGGACACTGATCAAAAACTTAGTTGAGTGCAGACATTTGTAATCGGCCCTCCAAATTGGACTTTCAATGCCGATATTAATATACACATTTATATTTGTTTAAATATTTAATATGTCTGCTATGAGTATAAATATGAAAATTAGTGTTTTTTTAAGTTCCTTGATGCCATATCCGTTATCAACGTTTTATATATTCCTTACTTTTATTTGTTGAGAAGGAGCATGTTAATTCCTGTTTCGATATGTTTAAATTCTGAATTGGAGTAGGCAAAAGACGTGGATTTCCCTTTCTTTCCTTGTAAATTAATAGACTAGGATTTAAGTTGGTGTTGACCAGGAATGGAGCTTAATTTAGGTTAATAGGAGGAACGCTTAGCTTCAGTGCGCTTAAACAAATCGTTGAATTCAACGCAAGCTGTTCGTTCTTCATCACTTGAGGATCGAATTGAGAATAATTTAAGTCAATTTCTTAAAATTTACTTGTTTTATTCAAACGGTTGGGAGAGAAACAAAGTACTAAATTATGTGCAGACATTATTATAGGGATTGTAATATTCTTTGGCTTCTTTATTTATCTTTTTAATCATTTGTTAACTTCTTGACATCCTATAATAAAGTGCAGATATCTCTTATAACTCAATGAGTGGCAAAGCTAATTAAGCTTTACTAAAATAAAACAAAGCAAAACATCTGTACAAAATACCCCGCAGTGTCACCGTATAATTTCTTTTTACTGGCTTTTACAAAGATGTGCATACAATCACCTTTGGGGCCGTCCTTAAATAGTCAACCAAATAAATGGGGGGGGGGGGTGTGTAAATATTTGACAGCTGTTGAAAAGGGAGAGGGAGTGGGGTTTCGATTTTCAGATGGGGGAGGGTGGAAAAAACAAAACGTGGTCGGTTAGTGTAACCGTTTATTACTGGAGGCGCCACAGTACATAGAAATTTAAATTTATTTATTTATTTATTTAGGCATTTTTATATATAGCGCTTATCATAAAGCTCTAAGCGCTTTACAATTATTAAAACATGTAAACTAAGTAAATACAAATGAGACACTAGGATAGTAACTACTATTCTATAGAAACAATGAAAATGGCTATAAAAAGAGGACACTTTGACACTTCAGGATTAAACCGAAACAGAAAATTAGGTAGGGCAAGGAGGGTGCATCACAGGTCATAGGCGGACCTAAACAGATGAGTTTTAAGGGACTTTTTGAAAATGGACGAGGTTTCACTATGACGTATATGGAAGGGGAGCTGGTTCCAGAACGTGGGCCCATGGAAGCAGAAGGAGCGTTCACCGATGGTCTTAGTTTTAGTTCTTGGGATTGAGAGGGTTCTACTGTCAATGGAAGAACGTAGTTGTCTTGTGGGGATGTAAGGAAGCAACAGTTCAGAGAGATAGACAGGAAAGTGAGGGTCAGTGAACGAGTTGAAGCAAAGNTAAAAAATTTAAGTGAAATATTTTTTTAAACTTGTTTAATTAAAAAATTAAACTTGTAATGGAATGTTTTTCCTAAAATTATGTGTAATTAAAATAGATGAGCACAAAGTAAAATGTATATATAAATTTATATATTATAATTCAATTTTTACGGAGGGTTATAAAATATTAACATATATAAATAGGGGGGGGGGGCACTGAAAGTATGACATTTGTTGACAAGGAGGGAAAGGGGTTCAAAAATTGCGTAAAATTTTTGAAGTAATTAATGGAGACCCCTTTGCACAGCACTTATTAAAATACAACGGGCTTAATTCTAGGCTCAATTCTGCATTTACCTAGTAAAAGAATAATGAAAATTCAGCACACGAAAATTTTTAATTATTTGAATAGATTATGTAAAGTGCTAGGATTTTGTTTTTAACTTACCTATAAATAGCAGTATAAAAATGAGACCAAATGTCCTCCACATTTTTAAATCAAAGTATCTAAGCAAAAAAATAAAACATAAACAATAAAAGGAGTAATTTGGTATAAATCTTATACAGAACAGCTTATTTGAAAAGATAATTAAGTAAATTAGTATTGATGAAAAAGTTGTCGATTAGCATCATTCTTTTTTTAAACAAGTAAATACATATATTAATATAAACTGTATCTGTATTCTGTCTAACAAAGTGCTTTATATAGTTGTAAAAAAGAATGCCCTAAATATAGTGGGTTACACTAAATGTATACATACAGAGACATAAAGATGTATTAACCTTCAAATGTTAAACGCGTGATCTCTACAGATGATTTAAGTTGTTCAGAAAGATACTGTGTGACACATATAATAAATACACACGTAATATAAATACACACGGCTAACAAGTCCTTACAAGAAGTGTGTCTGTGCAAACACTGTCCTACTTTTTACAATGTCAAAGTACACAACAAAAGCACGGTTATATTTAGCTCTTCACTTCCTGTTAGATTTTAAGGCTGTAGTGGGCTACTTTACAGTTGGTGGCTGTGTGAATATCCAACACAGCTAGCTTATTTAAGGTAATTTTTAAAAAAAGAAATTGAACTGTGTTTTACTCTTAAATTTTATTGCGATTCAGTGTTGCCAATTAATACTCTATCGCATTGATAACACACTACAAATATTTTAAACATTTCTACAGACAACATATTTTAGCGAAACAAATAAATAGATGTTTGTGAAGTATTAGTTAATCAGCAAAAAAAGTAGTGATATCAAATAAAGTAAACATCAACATTACATTCACATGACGCATTATATTTTTTAGATTTATTTTTATTTGACCATCTCATCCGTATTAAAGCTAATTTTACTTCGGACATGTTCATACACGTTTAAATTTATCAACATTTTTTTCCAAATTAAAATTCCAGTTTTGTGTTGCCTCAAAAGCCAAAAGAAATAATTTTATATTGACACTTAAAGATATTAGGATTTTTTTTACTGGCATGTCTTTTTATTGCATTTTTAATCGACTGTCATGCTAGATTGCAACACTTCAGTTTAGTGTTAGAACCATCTTTTAAATGAAAATTACTTTTCATTAGCATAAATTTTATTAAAATGAATTTGCTCGTTGGGGTGAAACATGTATGCTATGTTTTGCAGTATTTAATGGTAAAGCCCCGTTTTAATTTTTTTTTAAAAGCATATTTTCGTCAAAAAACTAAGTAGACTAATCTTCAATAAGTCCACTATTTCATTAAGTCAACACATCCCATAAGCCTAATATATTTTGTTTGATGAATATCAATTAACAGTTCTTTTAATTATTGAATTATGAAAAACAAAACATACATTATTTTTTACCAGAAACTAGACAATATACCCGGCGTGACCCGGGATTGCATTAGGACCACATCCTGGTGTGACCCCCTTATCCTATTTGCACCCCAATCCCATTCTGACCGACAAAGCCCCGTTTCCCGGTGTTATCCCGATCCTGGTAGATCCATTCAAGGTTGGGATCCCGAGCCCGGTGGGATCCCGTTTTCTGGTGGGATCCTGATCCCGAAGGGATAACGCTTATGATGCGATCCCGACCACTTTGGGATCCGGAAAAACAAAAATTACTCAGTGTTACTAAAAAGTAAACTCCTGGACAGTATATAAATGAATAGAAATACTAACATTTCAATATTCCCACAGATCCCACTACATATCCCTTTGGAACAAATAGAACTTTCTGGAACATTCTAGATTAAGTTTAATAACCTGATCAAAACTTACGTAAAAAAAACTTATCTAATCTAATTATTTATCAAACGAGATAAAAATCTTCAATAATGCCATGATTATAATCCTTTTTCTTTTAAGTTAATCGAGGGGCCCCGGGGGGCCCATTCAATAACTGTACTGATATAGTTATACCTAAGCTAGAGGGCCGTATAAAATCAGACCGATAAATGATTAAGTTAAAATTTAAAATGTGTCCCATAAAAATCTACTTTAAAACTCATAGATATAGATTTTTAAAATTATGAAAAATTCTAGATTGGATATAATTAGTTTAAATCCACCGATATATCAATACAGCCAATGAGGGGTATTGCTACAAGGCTAGGCCTATAACCATCAATTCACATATTAACTATAGACCTTTGATATTTATAAAGCTTATATTGAAAAATCAACTGGGCCCCCTGGCCTCAGAAAAAAGGATATTATGAGTTCAGTACCCTTTGGTTTTTGAATATGGATAATAAAGTCTATCTATACTAAGTTTGGTCAAGATCCATCTACTCATGTAGGAGTATTTTTTTCTAATTATTTTTGTATAGCTCATTTAAGAAAAAAAAAAAGATTTCGGGGCCCCGGCCCCAAACGGAATGTTATAAAAAGTTCATAACCCCTAAAATTTCTTTCTGGATCATGATGGATATGTATGGCATGTTTGGTCAACATCCATCATTTCTTGTAAAAGCCTTTGTGAAACATACCCACAAACATACACATTTTTACTTTTATATATATACTAGCCAATTTATCCGGCGTTGCACGGGAATCAATTAGGACCCCAATCATGGTAAGACCCCATCCCGTCGGTGTCTTGATCCCGGTGGGATTCCGATGGGCTACCATTTCCGTTAGGATACCGTTCGCCATGGGATTCCTTTCAATCTCGGAACTCTCTTTTTTTGATAGAATCCCGATCCCGCTTTGATCGTGTTACCCATTGGGATCCCGATGGGATCGCGTATCCGATGGGATCCATTTTACCATTGTATCTCGTTACCCATTAGGATCCTGTTACTCTATGTAATCATGATCAGTGCTATTTTGTTCCAATTAGTTTTTTGATCCCATTAGGTACACCCATACAGTATTAAAGAACCTTCTGGAACATTCCAGATTAAGACTAATGTCCTCCATTAAAAACGGGTAAAAAATTTCATTTCGGTGTAATTATATCTCGAATTCAAAATATTATACAACTAAATTATACTAATATAACTATAGTACATTTAAATTGAAATAGGGGCCTCTGTGGTGGCCCATTTAATTAAATACCGTTTTAGTTATGTCTGAGATCTTGGGCCGTTAAAATAAATTAAAGAGTTAACATTTAAAATTGAGTCCAATTAAATTGTTTGAAAATGTCAAAGATATAGCTATTTTAAATTATCGAACTTTCTAGAAAATTCTAGATCGACCCTGCATGGATTGGATATTCTTAGTTTTAAATCCACCGATATTTCATTAACAACGATGAAGTGTATAGATACCAAGCTTTGCCTATAACCATCGATTTGCATAGAATATACAGTGTTCAATAATAAGCCTGTTAATATTTTTATAGCTTAAATAAGGAAAAATGTATGAGTATATTTTTAAAATACGCTTTTAAGGGAAAAAAAAACGAATTTGGCGCTCCCGGTCCCAAACGGAACGTTATAAAAAATTCATAACCCCTTAAGATTTCCTTCTGGATAATGATGGATATATATACCAAGCTTTGTCAAGATCAATCAATTCTTGTAAAATCCTTTGTAGAAACAAAATTTCACTAAAAATATATATATGATAATTGATAATCGTTTTAACCACAATTCTCTCATTATGTTAATTATTTTTTTTAAAGTAAAAGCAATTCACTAAAGCCTATTCATTTTAAACTTTCTATAAAATAATACAAATATATTCATTATATGATTGTTTCCGACATAAAAATGAAAACGTATGCACATGAAAATTAAGGTTCACTTTAAGTTTTAAATATTACTTCTACCAAATGAATATTTATATGTGAACTAATTTTATTAAGCTAGCATAATGGAAATGGACTTAGCGTACGTTTCAAACAGGTTTCTCATTATTTAATGTTTCGTTTATTGCTTGAAAAGTTGGAATTACTTTCCAAGAAAATTAATTTTATCACAATTTATATTAACTGTATTAAACTGTGCAAATAAATATTTTTATGGTTTCATAAATTCGACAGCTTATTTTAATGAGTGGTAACTAGCTTACAATATGCATGTTAAGCAAACATTGTACTGAACCACTGCAAATTTTAGCACTAGAAGCATTTTGTATTATTTTAAGGTCACGTTTCCGACACTAAATATATAGTGGCAAAGGTCTCTAGAAAGTTATAACTAGATATTCATTTCGAAGAAAAGAACGCAATTAAATGGGAATTTTAAAATTATTATGAAAAATGTATTTGCAAAATGTCTGATATGGTGCATTATTTTATAAACCTTTTACAAAAAGTAGCAAATTTAAAAATGATATGAGATAAATGCGATGTATCCTGAAAAGTATTCAGATACATCTGGCCATTGAACAAATTCTAAAACTACCCAATCTTACAAAACTACTTACTCTTCTAACGGATGCCTCAACTATTGGCACTTCTTGTTGTCTGATGCAAAGTTTTAAAGTAATACTCTATCCCGTTGGATTTGTGTCGAAAACTTTTCCCGACTGAGCAACGTTATGTTGTTATTGAGAGAGAATGTGTCTGGCTATTTTTGGTCTGTACAAGGTGTCACGATATAGGGAAGTTTTCATCATGTACCCCATTATTCTACCTGTATCAGTTTACAACCTTTCAGGGAGGATGACACGTCGTTTTTCTATAATGGCCTTAGAAGCGTCTACCGCCGACGTGGACCTGCATTTAAGGTATATTCCCTTGCAGTCAAGGTGAAACAAGATGAGCATATCGATGCGTTATTAACTTTCCGTTGCATTTTCTAAGTCCTAGATATAGTCATCAAATTGTAAGCAGCAATAGTTACAGCTTCTTGGAACCACAGGTGAGAGCTGAGTAGAGACTTCCAGCTGTTTCCGAACAAGATGGCGACCAAAACTCAGACAACGATTCCAGGTTGAGGGTAGCTCAAAGGCATAGAACTTTCGAGAAAAAAGGGCTTGTCCCCCGTAGCATGTAAAGACTGAATTTGGCAAATTGTGCAGAAGAACCACTACTTGGTCAACAGACAAAAATCAGAGACAGCACAGTGGTGTGAATCGCTGAGAGCATGGCCAGACACGTAGAACGCCATGGTCATTCACTGCATGGGTGACTGGGTGGCCGAATGGTCTAAACTGAGCACATCTGAATTTCAGCCAAAAGCCAGTCAAGCAAAACCATCACCTCGTGTGGATGAGACTCGTTAACCTTGGTCGGCAATTCATCTAAGAGAATGAAACTCTGACTTCAAACCCGGAGTTGCAGTCCCGTAAGGTGCATACAATGACAATTCCTGCAACCGTACCCATCTCTGGTCGTCTTAACGTAGAGTCTTGCCACTGGATACGTTGGGCCCGGACGACAGAGTGAGGCTGACGCCGAGCAACTCTTCCTCAATTTAAACAAAAATCACTAGCGCAAGTCATCAGTCAACGAACGACTCGATGGTCATCGTCGATCCTCGACGGACGAACAACAGCAGCCATGGAATTTCCAGGAATCTAGAATTGTGATCGTATTGTTTATATTACTGTGAGTTTTTGATATTCTTAATTTAAGACCTCTTTTCATTTCTCTTTATGTAGAATTTGCGTATTTTTATTCATATTATTTTTCATTTGAAAAAATTACATTTGTACAGAGAGATGATTGTCTTAATTTTAGCCAATAGTGTGTCTAAAATCTATTTGTATTAGTCCACTTTTCAAATACCCTAGAAAACGAGCATGTTGAATTCATTAAACACAATATGTATATGTAGATGGCATCATTCCGATTTCGTGAAACGATGAAGTGGCTATGTAGTCCTACACTTCGAGGAGTTGCTCACTAGATCAATCCTAAAATGGCAATCTTGACTGCATTTCTAGCAATAGAATAATAATTCCTGGTAAGATTTTGACTTCCGTATTGAAATTTTTGCAAGGTTCTCGTTTCGCGTACCTTTTGAATTTTGTAATCCTTCATACAATGCTGTTCGCTAGCTGAAACGTTGTTCGGCCCTTTGCTCCCATTTGTTGTTTTCAATATTTGCTTCCTTCTGGCTCCTTTTGTAAACGTCAAACGTCAATAAATCTCGGGTGTGGCCGTCCAATAAGTCTTGTCCCTTCTGCCAACTCTCCATACAGCAGCACCTTTGTAATAACGGCCTTCCTCCATTCTCCTTACATGGCCTAACCAGCGAAGACGTCTCTTGCTAAGAGCGGAGAATATGCTAAACATTTGTGATCGTTCCAAGACCTCTGTGTTAAGCTTCTTGTCCGGCCTTTGAATCCATAAAATGCGACATCTTTAATGGAAGCTGTTGAGTTTCCGCTCCTGACTGGTATATGTGGTCCACACCTCGCTGCCATATATGAGCGTACTAAGCAGGCATGCCTAATAGACACTTATTTTTGATTTTGAGATTATTCAAAACCAGCTTAATCAGTTTAGAAATATTTGATCCACGGAATGTGAAATGCTCAACTACCAAAGATTACGGCCCCCAATAGATATGATTGGAGAGGAAGTTGCTTCTTGCATCATTACAGGTGTTTTCTGTAGACTAATTGACAGTCCAAAAACTTTACAAGCATGTGATAGAATATTAACCATGCCCTGCAGACCTTCGCCTGTGTGAGATGTTAAGTCGGCATCGTCAGAGAACAGCAGTTCACGAGTCAGTCCCCTTTTTACTTTGGTCTTTGCACGAAGGCTGGCGATATTGAACATTTCTCCTGCATTTGGCGTAACGAGAATATCATGTCTATTGTTGAGCGCCCACTCCTGAAGCCACACTGGGACTCTGGGTAGATGCGTTTCGCAAGGCTCTGCAATCGTGTAAGGGCAACACGGGCAAAAGTCTTTCCAAGTAAGCCAAGAAGAGAAATACCTCGGTAATTATTGCAATCTTTTCGGCCCCCATTATTTTTATACAATGTTACGATGTTGACGTCTCTCTTGTCCTGGGGAATGTGTCCTGTTTCCCAACACAGACAGAAGAGCTCATGTAAGGTAGGGAGTTAAATAGGTTTTTCCTTTTTGAGGACTTTCGGTGGAATGCCGGCAATCCCTGGTGCCCTCTATCTAACACAAAAGGGGGTTAACAAAGGCTATTCTATAATTGAGAGATGTGTCTGTACAAATTTATTCTGTTTTGAGATAGAGTGTCTGGCTACTGCAATTTCCGTAAAACTTTATTCTTTTATTGAGAGATTATTTGTATTGTCTGTGCAACGTTATTATGTTTTTGAGAGAGAGAGAAGGAGAGAGAGTGTCTGATTATTTTTTGGTCTATACAATATTATTTTGGTATGGTGTGTTAAGCAGCTCTAAGTTTGTATATGGACAAGTCTTCGAAATTTTTCGTGATCTCAAGCCACTGTCATTCATTAAAGTGCAGTCTATGGCAACTCGTGTATATGTAGATGGGTCTTCATGCTGCAAGAGTATAGCTTTACTGGGCTGCATATCAAGGGTTCTGACATATTTGCCGCAGACATATTATCATGATTAGTTTTAGATAACCTAATATATGGCCCATATTAAGCCCATTTAAAATAGAAAACACTAGATATATATTTTTTTTTGTATATTATTAATTACTGTTTTCTTCCTCAAGAAAATATGGTTTGTTGGTACAATTTTTATGTGTGTTAATTGAAAAATATTAAGATTGTGTTATTGAATAACAGAAATATATTAATAATATGCGTGTATGTCATTATTGCTTTTTAAATTAATTTAAATGCTTTAAAAGTTATGCAATTATGTTGTATTCTTTCTGGAGGAAAAAAAAATAATTTTTATTATATTTCATCAAGTTAAATATATCATATTTTGTTTTGTCTTAGTACAAAGCACTGAGTAGAGTAGTATACGAACACTATTGTTTTCTGCTTGAAAAGGGTAGTTTAGGTAGTCAAGGCCGTATGTTGGACGACTCATTTATGATATCCTGGTAATGTTTTCAAAATTTTTTTAACTAAGCAGTATCTTTAGGACATTGCAATGTTTAGATGCTATTGTTTTGAACATTTATTGAAAAGGGGTGTGGGTTAATATACGAAATGCTGTGATATTGTACATGGAGGATGCTTAGATTTTGGACAAGAGAAATTTTTCGATTTTGTTAAACAGGGAGAGACTAGATTTATAATGGAGGAATTTTTTTTTATTTTGTACCAGATTTCGACTAGTCAATGTGATCACGAAGTGGAGGACGTGAGCTTGTCAATGTTAGTCCTAAGACGTAATTTCAATGATGTAGAATTCATTAAAAAAAAGAGGACTTTACGTGGAGCTACGGAGGTTGTTGTCAAATCGTTAAACTTTTTTTTTTTTTTTTTGGCATGTGGGAGATAAGGGTTTGTAAATGATTCTGATAAGGTTGATTTCATGTTTTTTGTGTGTGACATCATATCTTCAAGTGTTGTCACAGAAAAGGGAGGGGGGGTTCTGTGAACTAGATTTAGGGGCGTGAATGTTCGAATGACAAAGGTGTTAAGATTAAAGAGTTTATGTGTAGCTGTGTTTGGATAAAGGAAATGAAGTGTAAATTATTGATATGGTGGTACTAACGCGTTGGATTGTATGAGTTACTTGTATATTTAACGAGCGAGTAAGCGGCATGTGTGCAATGCCACACAAAGAATGAAAGTGTTTGTTTTAATTATAATTTTAAGGAACATTTTATATACAAAGTATATTTTGTTTTTCAGTCTGGTGCGTATACCAAGAAATCAAATCACGTTAGCAGGAAACAAATAGATGTCAATGTAAGAAACATGGATTTATTATTATAAGGGCAAGGAGGGTGCATCACAGGTCATAGGCGGACATAAACAGATGGGTTTTAAGGGGCTTTTTGAAAATAGATGTGGTTTCATAATGATGGATGTGGGAGGGTAGCTGGTTCCAGAACATGGGCGCATGGAAGTAGAAGGAGCGTTCAGCGATGGTCTTAGTTTTCGTTCTTGTGATTGAGAGGATTCTATTGTCATTTGAAGAGCATAGTTGTCTTTTGCAGATGTAAGGAAGCAACAATTCAAAGAGTTAGACAGGAAAGTGAGGGTCAGTGAAAGAGTTGAAGCATAGCTTGGCAGACTTATACTTGATGTGAGAGGATATTGGAAGCCAGTGGAGTTGCTGAATGTGTTGTTGAATGTGGTCGTGTTTCTTTGATTTAAAAATGAGTCTGCATGCTGAGTTCTGTGCCTTCTGAAGTATGTCAATGTGGTGTTGAGGAATGCCTGCGAGAAGAGTGTTACAGTAGTCACAATTTTGAAAGAATTAGTGAAGAGACGAGATTTTTTGTGTCATTAAAGGAGAGGAGGGGTCTAATGATGCAGATTTTTCTAATTTCGTTATATACTGATCTGCAGATGTTCGTGACATGTTTGTCCATGGCGAGGATGTTCGTAAGGTGACTCCAAGGCTTCTGGCAGAGGAAGAGAGTGCTATGTGAGAGTTGCCGATAGATATAGAAGAAGGAGCGGATGGAGTGAGAGGTTTGTTTGGAAAGTGGATGAGAAGGATTTCTGTGTTATCATCATTTAGCTTCAGTTTGTTGCAAGTTATCCAACGCTTTACGTCAACTACGCACTCCTGCATGCGAGAGATTGTGGCATCAAGTTGATCAGGAAAGCAAGAGTCACAGATTTGAATGTAATCAGCAAAGAATTGACTGGAAACTGAGTGGTGGCTAATGAGAGATGATTGAGGTTTAGTGTAGAGGATGAAAAGGACCGGCCCAAGGACCGATCCTTGAGGAACTCCAATAGACAGGGCTGAAGGTTTGGAAGAGCGGTTAATAATAGAGAATCTTTGAGTTCTGTCAGAAAGATAAGATTGAAACCAGTTTAGAGCTGAGCCAATAAGTCTGAAATAAAGATGAAGACTGTCAAGAAGAATGTGGTGGTCAATGGTATCAAATGCAGCAGAGAGATCTAACAGAGTGAGAATAGGGAGTTTGCCACCGTCCATCGCGCGCAGGAGGTCGCTCATGATTCGGACCAGTGCAGTTTCTCTGCTATGACCAGGCCGGCAGGCGAACTTACAGGAAGGATAGAGATTGCGAGAGTGAAGATAGTCAGAGAGCTGAGAGAGTATGAGTTTTTCTATGATTTTTGAGAGAAAGGAGAGGTTACTGACAGGGCGGTAATTCTTGAGTGTGTTTGGATCAAGTGAGTGTTTCTTTAGGAGGGACAGGACTATCGACCGTTAAAAAATGAGAGGGAAGATGCCAAAGATAGTAGAAGAATTTATGATGGAGGTGAGTGCTGGGAGGAGGACGTCCAGGCATTCCAAAATTACTTCCAAAACTTTAGCGATTAATCCACCCATGAAATAGCTATTTTTGAAATTATATCTATATGGATCATATAGTAAATAAAGCCAATTAAGGGAATCCGGCGTAAACTGAATATGGTAATATGGTTGTACTAATGAAGAAACCTACTTAATATGTCACACTCGCACTGAAATATTGTACTTTGAATTTGATTCAATTCCATACACTCATGCAATACATCCGTTTGAAATATATTTATATAGCTCATATAACAACAACTAAAAATATTGGGTCCCCACCCCAAAACTGATTATTATAAAACTTTTGTACTTATTTACAAACCTGTGTGGGTGTACGCGCAATAACTCAGAATTTTTTTTTATATCAATCAGATAGATGTTATAGAAATCAAAAGGAATTAATATGACTCAAAATACAAAAAAAAAATAATTTAGGGCCCCAGCCCCATACGGAATATTGTAAATGTGTTGAACTTATTAAGAAATTTGCGGGTGAATTCACAATAACTCACCAAAGTTTTATCGCAGTCTGATAAATTGTATTGGAACACATACGGAAATTATATTAAAATAGCTAATTGAGAAAAAAGAAAAAGATTTTAGGGCTCACGCGCCCAAAATGGAATACTGTAAGATGGTTGTACAAATTAATAATCCTACTAAAATATGTCAAACGCAAAACAAATATCACTGTTTGTTTGAGTAAATTCCACCCACCCGTGCAATTGATCTATTGGTAATTATACGAACTGTTTAAATATACGAAAAGCAATGTTAGAGCCCCGTCGAAAAACGGAATATTTTAGAATGGTTCTAATGTTATAGAAACATTTGCAGTGGGGCGCACATTTTTTCACCAAAGTTGTATTTCCAATCAGATGAATTGTATAGGAACGCATACGGAAATTATATTTATGCAGCTTATAATTTTTTTTAAATCTAACTTCGGGCCCCTAGCCACAATCTGTCTATCGTTGAATAGTTGTACTTCTTCAGAAACCTACATATTACGTGATTTACAAATTTTAATGTGGCCTTTTTTATTTGATTCAAATTCCATCCACAAACCCATTAGGTTCAATTAATTGAATTTATATTTATATCGCTCAAATAAGAAAAAACGACTTTAGGGCTCCTGGCCCAAAACTTAATATTTTAAAATGGTTGTAATAATTCATAAACCTTTGCGAGCGTGCGCACAACATAACAAAGTTGTATGGCAATCGAATAAAAGTATAGGAGCGAATACGGAAATGGATTTAAAAAGCATTTAAGGCCCAAAACGAATTATATTAAAACAGTTGTAATAACTAAGAAAAATGCGCAGGCTTGCGGAAAGCAACTCATCACAGTTTCATATCAAAATCGGATAAATGCTATGTGAGCGCATATGAGACATAGAGAATTCTTTGTATATATATAGAAGCGATTTTTCTTTAATAGATAAATGTATTTAATAATTGTAAACCTAGACAACGAAGCTATCAAATTTGGCATTTCTCGTTTCGAAACAGGTATAAGCCTCATAATTTGCATATTCAAAACTGGTCTGATTAAAGTTTTATAAATAATTTTCTTTGTTTAACTTGTAATGTTTTTACATTTGACTATTTTCTGTGATGTTAACTACCTTTGCAATTATTTTTTTTTTTACATTTTTGATGACCTAAATGAAATAATATAAACATATTTACTATCATCTTCTTTCGTGCATTCCTTAGTAAGCCTTCCTAGACGGCCAGATGGCATTTGCCTTGAGAATTGTTTGTTCATTTCGTCAGCCTTATTCTATAATATTTTGCTATTTTGAGCCAGTAGTAGGACGTGGCCAAAACAAATGGAGAAGTGACAGAAAGCAGTGAATGATTAGCAGTGCCAGACTTACAACTCTGTACCCGTCTAATATCGCGTTAATTGCACCTGTCTTTCCATCCACTGGATGATCTTGAGAACGTATCATTGTGGTGCAGACTGCAGATGCCAGGAGGACACAACCTCATATTTAAAAACACATCAGACTTGAACTGGCAACAATATACAGGGCAGAAAATTTGAATGTGACCGCATGAGACTCCTAGAAGTACTGTATATGTACGTACGTGCGTGCATGCGTGCGTGCGTGCTTGCGTGAGTGCGTGTGTGTTATAAACATCCGACTAGATGTTGTTGTTTTTTAATTTGGGTTAGATTTTTGACGCACTTTTATAAATAATATTTTTAGGATCCTTAATATTAATTTTGCTTTTGTTGGTAGTTGTTTTCCTGGAAGATCATTAGACTGGTAATTGATCCACTTGCTGCAAAATAATTGAGCTGAAACTTGGCACATAGACTCTTTTAAATTTAAAGCCCAATCCCTGTATTTTCCTGTATTTGAAGGGCTAGTTATTCTAAATATTGTTTTCCCGCAAAAAATCCCGATGACGACGCTAAATGAGGTTCTTTTGAAAGAAATCGCATGTTCATTTGTTACGAAATATTTTACTTCGTTTTTCTGAAATAATTGTTACAATAAAACTGTTTTGTAACAGCGGAAGTGTCATTAGAAAATCAATATAGTTCAAGGGCGTGAAAAAAATGTTCGGTTGAACGCTTTGGGGGATGTGGTGGGGGTGGGAAGCCACAAATGGTATTCTGATAAAGTTATTTAATTGTAAGCTTGTTTTGTCAATTTCAGCCAAACAACCTATTAATCGATAATACATTTTATAAAGAATTAATACGAAAAACTTTGTATTTATATTTGGTTTAAATTGTTATATCTTCTGTTTTCAAACACTTGTTTAGGTGCAAATTGTACTTTAGTTATCTGCAATTTCGTTGATTGCCATTAATATTTTTAATAAATCTATATTGATTGTAAAATGATCATTGTACATTTGTATTATTGAATCGTTTAAGAAAGTAAATAGAAGGAAGTATTATTTTATGATTTAAAACAAAATATGTATTTTTCCATTAGAGACTCTTGCTGTGTTAGAATGTCAAGGACGACTTTCTGCTTCCTGCTGTTTCTTTTTATGGGTATGTAAGATAAAAAAAAGTATGAACTAAAATAATTTTTTTAAGTAATTTTGTTAAAATTTGTTTGCAAGGAAATAGTTTAAGTTAAAGAAAAAATATTTAATTTTTGTGTGATGCGATAAAAAATGTTTGTAGGAATTGATTACCAGATATAAAACTTGTAATATATATCGTTATGCATTTTATTTTATCTTTATCTGGTATACTTCATGTTAAACTTTAAAGAAGTCAAGTGAAAATAATCTGCTAGCATCGTGTAGCCTTCTTGTACTGTGGATTTTTTTTTCTTCTTTTGTGCTTGAATCCTTGTGGGAATGAAAGTCCATTACTTTATCATTATCATGATCTTATAGAAAATGGTATCGGCTAGGTAGCTGATCAAAAGATAATATATGAAATTTGAAATGTCAAAAAAGCTACTGATTTAAACAACATTTTCTCAAACTTTTCTTGATATATGCTATTGACAGATTATTGCTTCTGCTATTCTGCAATTCGATGCATTATCACTAATTTGAAATTTCAGTGAGGTACATATTTAAAAGTAGAGTGTGGAAAATTAAAACAAAACATCCCAAAATTGTAGATAAATTATGGTGAATTAACATTTTTTTTTAAAATTTGAACTAAAATCAAGTTTCAAGTTTTGTTCTGCATGGGGCCAAGAAATTATATTCTACCTTTGATATGTCAAACTAATTCTCTCATGTTTATGTTGAGCTATAAAAAAACGCCCGAAAAAATATAATTGTAATAGTATTCAATGCTTTACATAATGCTCATCTAGCACTGACATACCGATAACTTTAGAAATTGTTTGATTTTTTGTAGTTCAGCCACTGTGGGTTTCAAGGTATATTATGTTTTGGCTTTTATAGATACCAAGCCCTCAATATTTATATATGTATTATACTTGAGTGACTGATACGGATTGTAGGATGAATTACAACTTTTTGTAAACCACAGTATATTTCTGCAACTTGAAGTCAGTAATAAAAACGATGTTATCCTAAGACAGTTGGAATGTCCTGTGCATGAATTGCTTTGAAATCTTTCTCTGGCAGGCAACATTATTCATATCAGATCATGGTTATTTGTGATGTCGCATCATCTTTTTATTATGTAGAAGACTGCTTTTTATTGAAGTTATGGAATTTTTGCAGCATCTAGGATTTCAGAACTAAAAGTAAAAGTTAATTGACCAGAATTTATGAATGTATTCTCTGCTCAAAACATAACAAAACATTGTTAATGTTTTAAGTGTCGAATTCTTATGCTATTACTATTGAATTTCTCATATGGTATCGTCTTTTGTCATGTACTGTTTAAAACAAGCCATACTCTTAAAATATGAGCTTAATTTCTCCCATAGACAGCTGTGCGTAACAAATAATGTTGCCCGCCCGGGACAGCTAAACAAATATTTTTTTTTTATTTCTTACAAGTCCCCGATTTAACAAATTGTGGTCAAGTCCTTGGGTAATTAATCAATGTTTAGATTTCCTATTAGCACCAATAACGAAATTGGTTTCTTGTCTTGATTTCATTTGTATCCATAACTTTTCAAATTACACCAATAATAAAAAGAGCGTTTGTCTGTGTATTTTGAACCACTATTTACTTTAATATAATCAGACTAAATTGATTTCACGATTCCATTTTACCAAACCAATAATAGAGCTAGTTACAATTTTTCTTTGATTTCAATTTCAATAAGTATGTTCTTTAAGTTTGAACATTTATAGAAACTATTGTTATATTTTGCCTGTGTCAAAATGGACTTGATGTTGCCAACCCATCAATAGATGTATAGGACAAAGATTCTAGAAATGATCTATTTTCCATTATTAACGATTTAGGAAAAAGTATAGCTCATTCGAAAGTAAAAAAGACCATACGAGATATGATCATCGTCCACTTAGTAAATAAGGATAAGTTGTCTGAGGACGAACTTGCCTCAGTCACAGAATCATATAATCCTAGTATGGAGCTCTAACTGAAGCTCACGCAACCGGAAGTTGAAAGAGATAGGGCGATTTAATAAATTGTGCTAGATGCTCAGAGAGAGAAACGTCGAGAGCTTAAGCAAGTGGAGCGAGAAGCACATAAAGAGCTACAATAAAACTAAAAGAAATAGAAATAACTGCCTATTAAGAACACAGAGACATAATCTCACGGCTCCTGTAAATCAGGGTTGTGATGCAATTAAATTTGCAAATGTAATCCCTAAATTTGCAGAAAAGAGGTGTACCAATATTTTGCACAGTTAGAGATAACTGTCCAAAATTGTAACATTCCTGAAAATATGTAGTTTACCTTACCACAGCAAGCTCTGACTGGAAGAGCATCCGAAGTCTTTGTGTCCTTGAAGGCAGAACAGCGCGGGGACTATAATCTTGTAAAATCCTTAATACTTAAGGCTTATGAATGTGTCCCCGAAGCCTAACGTAAAAAGTTTAGGGAGCTGTCAAAACGTGATAGCCAAAATCATGTTGGTTTCCTCCGGGAAGAGGAACGACTCCTAGATAAGTGGCTACACGCAACGAAGATCAACACAGACTTCAAAAAGTTCAAGAAATCATTTTGATGGAGCAATTCAAGAATTATGTTCGTACAGAGGTGCGAATACATTTTTCAGACCGTGGCGAAGGTGACGCACATACGGCAGCAGTGTTAGCTGATGACTTTACCATCTCTCATCAACTCTCAAAAAACCCATCTGACACCAAAAATGACAGTTACAATAAGACAACAGCATAAACTTACAGTGAACCTCCACAAAAATCATACAAGCCGGGTATAAACGAAATAAGTACAAAACACACATTTGCGTACTGTAAAAATGAAGACATACGAAGGATAAGTGCTGGAAACTCAAGAAGAAAACTGAGAAGACAACACATCCTGGTATTACACACAAACTCTCCGCTTGTACGTCTCGTCATACATCTGGAAACACATTTTCTAAGTTCAACAGTTTTTGCTCTCCAGATTACCATACAAACTTCAGAGAGGTTTGTCGCGACTCATCAAAGAGTTCAAAATAAACAATGAGACTAGTTTGACCGATACCAGCCAAGTTCCTGCTTCGACTGAGAGTTTTATGAGCGTGTCGCCAAGATCATTTTACTCCAAGAAGAGGTCTACCTCCAGAGGGCTTCTTACAGAGGATGGGTGCACATTTTGACGACTCTACACATAGTTTTAGTTTGTCTACCCTAGCCGAATGTTCTCAAGACTCCAAGTGTTTACCTACCAAGGTCCAAAATTCTAAATCCGACTCTACTGAAGTCATACAACACTTCATGCCTTTCATATCGGAAGGATTTTTATTACTGCCAGGGGATTTTTCCGGTCAACGACCAATCAAAAATCTTAGTAGATACAGATATTTCACAGTCTTTGCTACTTGTTTGGTATACTTTCCTTGTGTGAATCTACTGCTACTGGTAGCAACATCCTGCTACGAGGTGTAGAGCTGGGAGTCATTGATGTACCTTTTACATCATATCAATCTAAAATCAGACCTAGTCTCAGGACCCGTGGTTGTGGTTGTACGACCAATAATACAATTGGATGGCATCTCGTTGCTGCTAGCCAATGACTTAGCTGGTGTGAAGGTGATAGCCGAACCGATCGTAACTGAATCTCAAGAGGAAGATCCAGAATTATATCCAGCATGTGCTGTTACAAGGGACATGAGTTCCAAGATTGTAAAAAAAAGAATTTCTTCAAAAAGTAAGAATGTAAATATTGACATTGATATCGGAACAAAATTTTTTGCCATTTTTAAAGAAGAGTCAAACAATAACAAGACTTCAACTCGAATTCAACTTATTAAAGAGGAGAAGAGTGATCCAGACATATTTAAACTTATAGAAAACGCTTTTACTCAAGAAGAAACTTAACAATTACATGTATGTTATCACATAAAAGATGAAATACTTATGAGAAAATGGTGACATCCAGGCGCAAAAGTTTACGAAGAATAGAGGATAGTTAATCAGATAGTAGTTCCTAAAACGGCACTAAAGGGGCTCAAGAAAATATGGAATGACAAAAATGTAGCCCCCAGCATCAAAATCAGGCTGATGCGCTCATTAGTCCCCTCCATTTTCCAGTATGCCTGCGAATCCTGGACATTAACAGCCGATCTTGAAAAAAAAAAGGCAATGGAGATGAGAAGCTTCAGAGGCATATTTGGCATGTGCTATAGGGACCATATCTCCAATGATACAGTGAAAGAAAGGGTTCGCCAGTCAATCTGGGAGTACGATGACCTACTGGTGACTGTGAAAAAACGCAAACTAAAATGGTACGGCAACGTAACAAGGAAACAAGGGCTTGCCAAAGAAATATTACAGGGCACCACAAGAGGAGGGAGAAGAAGAGGAAGACAAAGAAAATTATGTGAGGATAACAAAGATTAGATAGGACTAACACTGGGTGATGCTGTGCGTTGTGCTGGAGACAGAGATGAATGGAGGAGGATAGTTCGCAAGTCTTCTGTGGCGCCCCAACAGTCCAAGTACTAAGGGACATAATGGTGATGATGAGTTCCTACACCATTCCGAAACGAAGTCCTGAACTTAGCCCATAATTCATCATTTTCAGGCCATTTGGGACTAAACAAGATAGATCACAAAATCACTTTGCCCTCCTTTTGGCCCAAAATCAAAAAAATGTTTGCATCAATAAGGTTCTTAGAAGCTATTCATTTTCGAAATATCAAGACTCCGAAAATCGTCAAAGCCTTTGACGAATTTTTTACTTTGTTTGGTCTTCCGCAATCTGCACACTCTGACCAAGAACCAAATTTAAGGCTGGACTATTCAAACAAGTGATGAATCAACAGGGTATAGATCAATGCTTGTCGACTGCATATCATACTGTGTCACAGCGAGCACTTGAGCGATTCCATTAGACATTAAAGAAAATGATGGGAACGCTCTGCCTAGAACAAGAGAAATACTGGGATGAAGGAATCACCATGCTACTGTTTGCGCAAATGAAGCAGTTCAAAAATCACTTGGATTCAGCCCCTTCAAAATGATGTTTGGCCATACGTTTCGCGGACCACTTAAACTATTAAAAGGTACGTGGATGTTATCGACCCACACTTATGGACTTTTGTAATATTTCTTGAAATTTAAATCTAAACTTTTAATGCCGTTATTTTGGCTAAATATCATTTAAAAGTGTATCAATCTAAAATTAAATTTTGCAACAACAAAAAGTCAAAATTCAGACAGTTTCCCTTCAGGGGACAAAGGTCTTGTACTTTTTCCAAAACCAAGGAAAGCACTACAAGTTATATATATTAGTCCGTTTGTAGTCGAGACCAAACTTAATTATTTAAATTACATTGTGTTAACACCAGTTCGAAAAAGAAAAAAATGTTATGTCACATTAATATGCTAAAAGAATATGTTGAAGTAAAATGTTATCATTGTCCATCCACAGAACCTAATAATAACATAATCTCAACTGTAAAAGCAGTACTTTAAAAAAATGTTACTGAAACCTTTTATAGTGTCCTAGAAAAAATGTTCGTAATGGGAGTCGCTTAGTCGATTGATTTGTCACGTGATGAGAGTAAAAACAAGTAAGACTTCCGGTAGGCTGTATACAACACACTAGTGCTTGTCAACAGTAACCCGATACACACTAGAACTACACTACATTTCGTCCAATGAAAATTAAAAATAAAATAAACAAAGGGGAATGACTCTTGCATCAATAATGAATAAAAACGCAAATGACGTCATGAGCACGCACGGAGCTCAACAACATCCTGCCGATAATAGTATTGATAGTTCCCATCGAATATCGCTCACAAATTGTTTTTGAAATAACTTTCTTCCTTTAATCATAACTGACGTATATTTATTGTCACATTTATGTATTTCATTTAAAAAACGCATGTATTCCAGAATATTTCGAAAGGTAAAATTTTTAAGTAACATGACATTGGGGAAGCACTGATGATGTATCTTTTGTTGTGTGTAGCAGCCTACTGATGGCTTACTCACATCACGTGACCAAACAAGGAAGTGACTAAGCGACTCCCATTACAAACTTAAAAATTCAGAAATTCTGGCCAACTTATATAAGAAACTAGGACATTGGTCATTGTCAGAGAAGGATGTTGTTAAGTCTGTCATTGCAGATTTTGCTTTACATTTTCCTGACGTACCTAATAAAACCAACATTGATGTACATGATGTTGAGATTGGTAATGCATTTCCATTTTCAAGCAAAACCGCTATAGGGTCAATCCGAAAAAAAATTGAATTAGTACGGTCTGAAAAAAAATGCAAGCCTGCAAATTATATTGAACCAAGCTCTAGTAACTGTAGTTCACCATGTATTTTAGTCCTAAAGCCTGACAGGTTTTGCAATGACTTCAGAAAAGTGAATTCATTTAAAAAGTCTGATTCCTTTCTGATTCCAAGGATAGATAATCTTATAGATCGAATAGGTGATGCAAATATGTGACCAAGATAGACCTGCTATCAGGCTATTGGCAGGTTCTTCTATCTGACAGAGCAAAAGAAATCTCTGCTTTCTGTACTCCAGATGGTTTATACCAATATATAGTAATGCCGTTTGGAATGAAAAATGCCCAAGGTACATTCAAACGTCTAGTAAAAAACAGTATTACTGACCAGGCAATTGCTGCTCCTATATTGATTTTGTAATTATTAACGGTCAAGATTACAATATATTTAATAAATGTCCGGCATCTTATATTAATTCTGTCATTCTTGCAAAAAAATTAATTCTTCATCACTAAAAATACAATGCTAAAAGATTATTGTATATAACACCATTTTTTTTTTGCCATCTAAAAATCCACAACCCTTGCCATCATACAATCTATGAGTTGACGTACTTGTGTAATGAATCTATCCAACCGCAAAATTTCTCTATTATATTCCATTGGCCATCCTTGCTGAATGAGTTTAATGTTTTTTTAAATAAATTTAAATGACGAATGGGTCAATGTTTTGCTTTTGGAATTTTACTCAAAGGTGGCGTAAAGCTATAACAATGAAAGATGTGCCACTGTCTGAGCCTTTTTCAGGAAAAAGTCCATGTTCGCGGTGTAGCTATAAGCACTTAAGTTAGACACTGGATATTCCAAGCTATAAACAAAAAATAAATACCTTGGTATGTTGGTATATTATTTTTGCATCATTGTATTATTTATGGATATTAAAACAGTTTGATATTGACACAAATAGCTTCTTCAGTTTTCTTTTCTTGACGGAACCCCATTTTGTATAGACGTTGTTGGTGTTTGCTTCTTGCAAAGGGGCCTTACTTATAGAAAGCTGCAGCATTGTCTTCATATTCTAATGAACTATATTTTTTAGCGCTACGTTATTTTCACAAGTACCAATGACACGATTTTTAACTGCGCTGTTGAATATTCCATAGAATATTTGAACTTTAAAAAAGAAACAATGAAAAAACGCATGTTAGCAAGGTCAGTTTGCATTAGCTGTTGATGGTGTTCAGAGATGAGGACAAATATGATCGTTGAAAATGGAAAAATTAGTATCAAATCTTATATTATCAAATATTGTCATATCCTTTTCATGTCCATCGTAAATATTTTCAATCGTTATTACAAATTCGTGATTGCAAATTCACAGCGTCTTCTGGTGGCTAATATGTTTAATAACCATGCACATTTATAAATGTTTTTCTCTCATTGATGCTGAGTTCGAATGTTCGAGCTTATATTTTTGAGGTAAATGTGGAACAACTGTATCGCTGCTGTGCGAGATTCATATGGTATTGCTGTCAGGGTGCTTTGTTTCTTCCTAATGCTTAATTTCATCAAGATTATGTTTGCAATGGTATTTCTTTTTAAAATGAAGTAAAGGAGATACAAATGATGAAATACGTTTTCATCAAATGAGTCAACTATATTATGGTACCCTTAAGACATAAACATCACAAAGTAAAATAAAAAAAGAAAAATTAAATATTCTCAGAATTAAAACTGTTTAAATCTTTTAATGCAAATCAGGGGTGTTTTTAATTTTCATTTTAAATACTTATCGAATCCCACAATATTTTTTAATTAAAATTTATAATTTTAGGATGTTACTTTTTTCAGGCCTATCCTTTGCTGATTGGGCTTCAGAAGGCGATCAACATTTATTCTTGTGTGTTGGAAATGTACAGAGGGAAATCCCGATTCTTTGGAAGTTAAGACGAAGCAATGGAGCTGAAACAAAATTAATGTTTTGTACTTCTGAATCGTGTGATCCAGAAACTGATGGAATACCTTACGAAGCAAACATAACAAGGAATGGTGAAATCTTTCACAGTTTGTTGTTAATTAAAAATGTGACACTAAATCTACATAAATCACAGTGGATATGTTTCGTTGATTCTAATACCGGTTCGTCGTACGTTACAAACATAAATACAACTTTTAATCTTTTTGTTTTTGGTAAGTACAATTTTGTTTTAAGTTAAACACATAATGAAACATTTTATGTAATATGTTACTTAATGATTCAATTAGCTTATCATTTGAAATCCATTTCAATGTGTTATTAAAACAATTTAAAATTGAACTCTAAAGTAATATAAAAGAATTATCAATATTTTTAACTCTCATTATTTTATAAAATAACGCTAATTTATTCCGGCAGTATACAAACATAAATGAGGACAACGGCATTGTTTGACGTTTCATTTGATCGTCATGTCGACAAAAGATCTTGATAATATAGCAATATTTTTCTAAGTTTCCTTAAAAAAAAAAATCCTGATTTAAATTCCTTTAAGTGTATTTACAGCCCTAAGAAGGAAACAGGGTACTAAATTAGGGAAATTTGTAGGAGTTGGGAGGTTAATGGTTTATAGAAAGTCTCAAGTCATAATCTATGTTATTTAATTGATGGTACACAAATGTTTCGTTCCCCTGTGAGATGTTACAATTATAGAACGCTTTTTTTTTTGCTTCAATCTCTTGTTTAGTATGCACTTTTTTATAAATTATTTTCTGTTGTAATTTAAATTTATTTTACAAAGAAACATACCCAATGGAATATGATATATCTTATTTATCCCAAAAGTTCTTTTACTAACAAATGCCTTTTTGCCCTTAACTACAAACGCTATCATTCACCAACTTCAAAGAGCTCACTCTTATCATCCCAATTTTCGTCTTAATATAAATAATTTTTTTTTTTTTAAATCCACCGCTCTATTTTCTTACCGCTAATTTTTCACTCTAAAATAAAACACTGTCCCATATAAAGAAATCATTTTTTTTCTTTCTCCATTCCATCTAATTTATATTTTTAACTCACCTTCACAGAGAACAAACTGTGTGTCAGATCGTTCATTCCTCCCCATAAAATATAAGTTTTTCGACAAAGCAAGAAACATCTTGTTTCTCTCTGTTCTGACTCATTTAACGGCTCCCAAAATTATTCACCAGAGAGTTTTCACATGTACCAGGTCTTCTACTTTCCCAAAATTCGTCATGTAAACTCTACAACAATCTCAAATATCCATATACTATATTTTTGCCACATTCTTAGGCTAGTGTTTACGAACAAATTGGCCCTACTCTCATTGTAAGCTTAAAAAACGTTTATTTTGTCTTCCATGAACACCCCATTTCTCCCAGTGGTATAGTTAAAAACGAAAGTATCAAAGTTGACGTAAGGAATCATTAAATTTCATTAACATCATTGAATTAGACTCTGAGATTGAAATTATAGGATATAAAACGAATTATAAGTGAAACTTATTTGTATTGCAATGAAACAAAAATAATAGGAAAAATAATAATTAGCGTCCTAAAATCACCACCACCCCAACTCTTTTCTATCTAAAAAAACAACATAAATGCAGTTTATATCGTAGGTTCTAAATTTCACCGCAAATTTTATTTTTAAAATATTTAAATTGCTGCTCGTCTTTGAAAACAACAGTGCAAGCCAAACCCAAGGTTTGTTTATGAAAATTAAACAAGCCTAGTTTGATAACCCTTATTCATTTCATTATCCTTTCTCACTTTAGAGATCCATAAATAAAATGTATACTTTAAAAATGTTTCATTTGGTAAATCTAACAACTGTAAAGATATTTATTTTAACACTATCAAAATAAAACCAAAAAAAAACAAACAATTCGTCCTACTAACAGAGTTGTTGTAGCTGGTAGGTACAGCTGATGATGTCCACAATTTTTCATGCCCATTGTTGATAACTTTTTTGTTTTTTTTTAAATGTATATCACATTTATCTTAAAACGCATAAATATTTTTAGTGAGTTCTTTGTGCGTTGTTTATGTTGTAAAATTAAATTAAAATTAATTTGATCTAATTGTCTTTACATAATATCAAATTAAATATTCGATTGAACTCAAATAAACAAAAAAATACTTCTATAAGAGGAAAATGTATACTTGCAAATACAAAAGCTTTCAATTTCTTTAATTTATTAAGGGCGTGGGATAAAATCGATAATGAAATTTCTACTTTAAAAAAAATGATATTTATAAATATAATTGTTTGCTTTTTAAACTGCTAATAAAACACACCAAGTTTTAGCTTTTTAAAAAATATAAATACATTTGCCGTCAAGATTTTGAATGTCTAGGCAAAGGATATTACTTTGCTTGCAAAGAAGAACCTGCCATATGAAATTGCAATTGGTTTATATTAATATCCGTATCTCAATACCCAATTATGTGCAAGATTTGAAAATTTTATTGCTTTAAGGTTAAAATAAATAACGATAATATTTCAATAAACGGAAGTATGCGTAGAGATATATACATATATATTCGTATATATATATGTATATATATATATATATCTTTTTACAAAATATAAAGCAATATGTTGTAAAAGGGGTATGAGGAATTTAGAATTTTAATTAGGTTCAGGAGTGTGCAGACAATGTGTGGTTGCCAACGTAAGGACTACCATACTTTGGATTATTTCATTAATGTCTATTAAAAATCAAACAGTGGGGAGGGTTACTCGATACTTTAACTTTGCCCCAGGCAGCACAAGATAAACCTCAGAATAAAAGAAGGAATTTGATAAGTATTTTAAATTCTTCGATACACATATCTGTGCCAGAAAATAATGTGTATACATTATAGATGTTATAGTCGTTCAAAGAGGTATTACATTTCTTTTTTAACAAATAAATATATGTTTAAGAATTAACAAACTATAGTTAGATTGCTTTCATTAAACGTGGGTACATTTAAATCAGAATACACTGGCATATTACATTAAGAAATGGCGTCAGCGGGCCGTCGAGCTTGCACTCTTTATGCCCTCCCCAAAACAACCCACCCCAACCCGGTATCGGGCCGTGGAAGGCAAGTCGGGAATGTCACTTTGCCCCCACACGAGTCTGCTCGACTAGGTCTCCACCGGGGGCCGTCCTAACCCAAAGACACCCGGTCGATCCGACACTGTGTTTGGACAGAGTGCACATGATTGACTTTCTCAGGAGTCGGGATGGAACATTTTACGTCCTAATATCATCCCCACCAATCCCGGGGAAGAGTTAGACGCCCTATAAGAGGGATTCTACAGTGGGTTTCCACAGCGCAACTATTTCGCGATGCAGCTGGGACGAAACGGTTGTCTTGGAGCAACTTCTTAGGGCTGCGTAGTAAGAATCATCGGCCAGAGGTTACCACATTCGCCTCTCGCCTCATATTCATTAACGGCAACTTGTAATCATGATCCCTACCCTGTCACTGCCTATAGTAATAGCCTATTCTAAAAAAAAAGAATACACTAACATTTCTATCTATCTATCTATCTATCTATCTATCTATCTATCTATCTATCTATCTATCTATCTATCTATCTATCTATCTATCTATCTATCTATCTATCATCTATCTATCTATCTATCTATCTATCTATCTATCTATCTATCTATCTATATATCTATCTATCTATCTATCTATCTATCTATCTATCTATCTCTATCTATCTATCTATCTATCTATCTATCTATCTATCTATCTATCTATCTATCTATCTATCTATCTATCTATCTATCTATCTATCTAATCTATCTATCTATCTATCTATCTATCTTTCTATCGATCTATCGATCTATCGATCTATCCATCCATCCATTATTCCATCCATCTATCCACCCATCCACCCATGCACCCATCCATCTAACCATCTATCCATCTATCCATCTATCCATCTATCCATCTATCCATCTATCCATCTATCTATCTATCTATCTATCTACGTATCTATCTATCTATCTATCCATCTATCCATCCATCCACCCATCCACCCATCCACCCATCCATCCATCCATCCATCCATCTATCCATCTATCCATCTATCCATCTATCTATCTATATATCTATCTATCTATCTATCTATCTATCTATCTATCTATCTATCTATCTATCTATCTATCTATCTATCTATCTATCTATCTATCTATCTATCTATCTATCTATCTATCTATCTATCTATCTATCTATCTATCTATCTATCTATCTATCTATCTATCTATCTATCTATCTATCTATCTATCTGTCTATCTATCTATCTATCTATCTATCTATCTATCTATATTTAAATATATACATATAAATTTGCATATATATATATGTGTCTACCTATCTATCATCTATCTAAATATTTATCTATCTAAGGAAATTATAAACCATCTATTTTAAAAATTAAATTTTCACTTGTGTAAAATCAATGGGTTTTGATATTTATATGTAGTATTGTGTACATGTACTTACGTTTCGTTAACGTCTTTGATTTTCTGATTGGTAAACATGTGTTCATTTGTAAAATGAAAATGTAGCATCTTCACAAATGTAATTTTATTGGATTTAAAGATATTGTCATCCATGTAAAAAATATACACACCCTATTTACTACATATATATATGGACATAAGAACGTTAATTACCTTTTATCAAATTCACTCTCAGAAGTATTTTGTGTTGCCCCGCACAAATTGGAGTATCCCCATACTTCCCCAACCCCCCCCCCCCCCCCCCACACACACACACCAACAAAGTTTTTAAAAAATTAATAAAATCATCAAATAGTTTGAATTTCATAAGCTTTGCTCTTATTTGGATGCGTGATACGGGCAATAGTGAAACCCTGTTTTTTTTAAAAAACTGTTTCTTAAGTAAGTTACATACTCATAAATAGTTTAATCCTCCTCTGAAATGTTTTCATTTGTGAGTAGTTTTTTTTTTTTTAATATTGACATCTGTCACCTAAACTCCCAACCAAGATAAGTTTATATGGAGAAAATAACGTGGTCTCATTTAGGACTCCCGATATGCAAATAAAATTGTTGGTAAAAATCTATCCCAGTTGTCTGGTTCTTCATTAGCAACTTTTCTTAACATTCCTTTTAGTGTACCATTCAATATTTCAATCATTCCATTAGATTGTGAGTGATAGATAGATGAACGATTAATACTTATA